TAAAGTCGGCATATCTGCTGTCGGGATCCCGAAACTACTGGTTGTAAATTAAGTATTTTTTTTTATCCAAGTAGGCACATATTTTTTACTGTAAACAGAGTTGTGACTTTTTAACAGCAATCGTCATACAAAACCTTCATATGACAAGGACTTAAATATGTGAACAATTTCAAGCATTTACTAGGTAGTTGTAAAGGCGCGTGAAATGATGTCTAGACATCAAAATACATTGAGATTGATGGCTACAAAAAAGAAATGTATAGCACATGTTTGAATCTATGAGAAGGCATTATTTACACACTATATATTTATACGCTTTTTGACTAGTTTATTCCATCTACATTCAAACAAGGAAGAAATCAAAACCAAGAAAAAAATAACTTATTTAAGTGATGGTTTGTAGGGATTTGATTGGTTAGAGGATTTCATCATGAGCTGACATCAGTAAGAGAACCATTGGAAAACCAACTGGGAGTACTGGACAGCTGTTTCGTCCTAGTTTGAGAGTCTTCATCAGTACGCACCCACACTGCGGGATTCGAACCCAGGACCTTCCGGTTACAAGGCGAGCTAGCTCGTAGACCATTCAGCCAGCCACTGGGACCCGATCCAATGGCCAGCCCATGGATTCTAACTTCTGCCAATTCACGAGATAGCGCGACCGCTAGCCAATGTCTTCGGTGGTGAGTATTTGTCCTCACACCCGACCCGCTGCACCCTACTGGTCACGGCTGATGCTCGTTGTACAACAGGCAGTTTTCGTGGCATTTGAAATGATGGGTACTGAGTTCGAGTCTCAGTGAAAACATATTCCCAAAAACCTGTGCCTGAAAGGAAGCAGATATTCCCAGAGTGCAATTACCAGACATATTGTTGTTACCGTACGTATCGTAGAGATTTCTAAGCCATTCAAAATATTAAATAGACGAAGGACAGCAAATTTACTACGATTTGCCGAAGCAATCGCAATCAAACGACTTAGACCAGACTTATGCATACAGAAAGAGAGTGTGATTAACCTCTCAATCCCTTGGTAACTGAATTTTGGTTTTGATTAGTCATCTAATTCAGTGATCTCAACTTACTGAACAAATCTTAATCTCATAAACTGCAACGCTTTTGTTTTTTGAGTTGTTGTGTGAACCTACAAGCTAACACTGTTCTGTTAAACAATTTTTCTGTTTCCTGTCTTACCCCTCCCCCTCTTTTCAACTTTAAAAGCGTATAAATTGATGATGAAAACTTAAACTAAAAAAAAAAATTGTAATGCTTTCATTTTGGATGCGTCAATTTTTATAGTATCCTCTTCTCTACCACCACTCAAACATTAAAGTATGTTATTATCATCTATAAAACCATTGTAATTTCAGGTAGTGCTGTGCAGCTGACGCGAGAACCTGTGAAATAGAATGATAACATCACTGCAAATTTCGTCTTCCTTTCTTTATCGTAATTTATCTGTCTGATGGACTGGCTTCAACAGAGAATTTTGCACAGATGTCCAGAAGTTCCAGTTACCACTCTCTATTCACCAAAAAATAAAGCAAGATAACTGTGAGGAAAAAATAATACAGTCCTATTGTACAGGAGAAATCATATAGACTGAATGCATCTGTGCAGTCATCGAGAACGATTCTCAGACAATATCAACCAAATGTCTCCAGCCAACGTTATTGGTTTTTACCATTTTGAAGAACTCAAACAACACTGGCAGTTTGCATCTCCTACCCTACCTACATGGTTGACTGACTGGTTTAAACTAACTCTTATGGATTTCGAAAAATACCCATTTATTCATAAGTAAAAACACAGTTTTTGTTCAGCGAAGAAATTTCTTTTCAACGACTTCATTTTCAAGCCAACTGTACAGTCGTATTTATATATTACAGAAAAAGGTTATTAAGTGGCACTAAATAATTGCTCAGTCAATGTACGTATATATGTGATAAGAGTTATAAGGGGTAGAGTTGAAGTGGATAAATTACAAAAATATTAAAGATTGTAGCTGAACACTATCCAGTTTGGTTAATGAAAGGCGAACGTAGAACTGCAAAGTCGTCTATATGTGATCATCTGTTAGAGTCTGGTCATTTAGCCCCACGTGATTCATCTTTCAAAGTTATATACATGGCAAAATCGAATCGATACAAAAGTTTACGTTTTCTTCACTTATGCATAGCTAACCGAAGCTTTAGCTATACATGAACAGAAACCTAAATTATATGTTCAAAATCGTTTTGTCAAACCCATTTCTTTACCTAGGTCATAATAATGTTCTTTCTAGTTTTTATTTTATTTTACCACTTGAATTCTTTCCACTTCACTTCACATCTTCATTCTTATCGTAATCGTACTCCTAATTTTCGAAATTTTTAGACAACACTTGACATTTTTGTTATAGAACAATCTTTCATATTTTTGTAATTTATCCACTTCAACTCTACCCCTTATAACTTTTATCACATATACGTACATTGACTGAGCAATTATTTAGTGCCACTTAATAACCTTTTTCTGTATTATATAAATACGACTGTACAGCTTGAAAATGAAGTCGTTGAAAAGAAATTTCTTATGGATTTCATCGACTGGTGAAGCCATATTTTTGTTTGACCAGCACTAGTTAACTCTTTTCCGACATGATCATTCTTTGTCCGCAGCTAACATTGCCCGTTGTCGAGGAATGAGATGGCTAGGTTAGACTGGTAATGAGTTCTACATGTCCAAACTATCTCTCTCTCTCTCTCTCAATCCATTCAACTTCACAATATCGTCGATTGATTTACCTCCAACTCACTTAGCAATACATTGAAGTCACAGGGAGCGGATCCATCTGCGCCAGTCATTGAGAACGATCACTTTGAGCCATATCATCAATTGTTTCTAACCATAGACTTTTACCGTCCCGAGGACCCCAACCAGGAAGTCTACACCTTCCTACGTGGATTAGACCAACTGTTATGGATTTCATTGACTGGTCCGAAGTTTTTGTTTGACCGCCGCTAGCTTTTTTCCAGCCTGACCCTATATCCGCTAACATTGCCCGTCGACGTCGAGGAAGGCGATGACTTGACATACGTAACACATGTCCTAACCATCTCAGTCTTTGTAGCTTCACGACTTCGTCGATTGATTTCCCCTGTTTACCTAGAAGTCGACGCCTAACCTCGCGACCAGGTCTCACAACCATAAAGGAGGACGGAGCGGACTGATGAGCAGTACACCCGCCCTTTGGTCGATAGTCGAACATCTCGTCTACGCCAGAGTCGGCGTAAACTGGCAAATGCGAAACGAGCCCCCTGTATTCGTGCTGAGATTTCGTCAGAGATCAGCCCGTTGGCACTGGCTGATGGTACTTCCCAAATAAGTGAAGAAGCGGTCAACGTGCTCTGCCACTTCACTTCCTATTTTTAAACTAGGCGTCGATGTAACCCAGTCCTGTAACATCATCTTGCATTTGGCGGGAGCGAATCCCATCCCAAACATTCGTAGATTGCTCAAGGTGTTTAGAAGACTCTGCATTTCGTCAGCGTCTTCGCCTAGAAGGACTATATCGTCTGCATATTCTAAATCAATGAGATTATTCCCCGGTAGCAAGTCAATCCCTGAAGTCACTTAAGGTTAAGTCCATTAACACATCTATGATGAAGTTGAATAGAAAAGGAGATAATGGGCATCCTTGACGGACACCACTGGTCGTCACCAGTTCAGATGACAGCTCGCCGTAAGCCCTCACCTGGCTGTATGAGTACGAGTAGAGTGCCTTAATCAGTGCAATATATTTTCTTGGAATTCCCTTTACAGCCAAGCATCTCCAGAGAACTTCCCGATCGACAGAGTCGAATGCTGCCTTTAGGTCAAGAAATATAATGACTGTTGGACGCCGGTAGGAATGCCTATGTTCTAGAATCTGTCGGAGGGTGAAGATATGATCAATACACCCTCTTCCTGGTCTAAAGCCTGCCTGGCTCTCTCGTGTTTGTGCTTCCCGAGCACCACTCAGTCTACACATGATTATTGAGCCTAAGACTTTAGATACTATATTAGTCAAGCTAATCCCTCTGTGATTATCACAGGAAGACTTGTCTCCCTTCTTGTATATGGGGATAATCAGTGACTTACACCAACCCGATGGGACTTCTTCTGATTCCCAGACGCTGCCTAGCACCTTAGTTAATGCAGACAGTAAACTGTCTCCACCGTACTTAAATACCTCTGGAGTCATTCCATCAGGTTCCGCTGCTTTGCCTAGTTTCAGATTGGTGACAGCTTTAGTAACCTCAGTTAGGGACGGAGGACCTGTGTCTATATCCCATTCAGGGAGGTGTTGGATGCTCGGAAGGTTGAGCGTGGCTGTGGGCCAATTAAACTGCTCCTCATAATGCTCTTTCCAACGATCCAGTCGTCTATCCTGGGAGCTAATTATAGTGCCATTTTTCTCCGAGATTGTCTCACTGATGATTTGTCTTCTCCCACCCGTTTCCCTGATGAGTCTAAATAGTTGCCTGGTGTTGCCTAACCTCGAAGCGAATTTCGATGATATTAGATGGTTGGAAGCAATCGGAAGCCTTAGGTTTCGTACTAGTTGGCCCTCTCATCAGTAAGGCGTATCTGCAACCCCCTTTGAAGGAACTCATATCCCTTCTGAGATTCGAACCTGCGTCGCCCAAAGCCACCTGCAGTCACAGACGTTACCTGAGTGATAGAATTCAGTCTGCACCAAAGAAAGGCCTACACATATCACACTAGTTACTGACTAGTGTCCAATCAAAATAGTGGACTTCACCAGCCATGGAGTACAAGATATCCATGATTCATGTATCATACTCAGAGATTTCGATGTATAATTTCCTAACGGGGTGTTCATATCGCGAATCTATCAACATCATCAGATGAAAGGAGTTCTATATACGCCAACAGACGAAATCCTGACTGATAACTGATCGATAACTATTTCTTATGTAACGATACGCATAATTAAGATAAATCAAAACACAATTACATCATTAACAGAATACATTTTCTTTACTTTGTTTGTTTTTCCTCCTTTCATGTAAAAGTTGTCTTTGATGTCTGTGAATGCGTGAGTAGTGTGTGTGTGTGTGCATAGGTTGGTATAAATAAGAGTGGGGGGCAAGAAAAAAAAAAGAAACACACCATTTTATATCTAAATAAACAACAACAATAGTAACGTTGAACATTGAAGCAAAAGGCCGCTATAGCAAAGGAAGAGAGAGAGAGCTGGAGAAACATCGTCTGGTGGTCTCATACATTTGTGCTTTACACAACAACACAATAATCACTCACATATCTCCGCGCGTCCCCCCATCTCGCCTTCCCAACACCACAACCCCAAAAAAGTAATTCGCAAACCAAAAATATATAAAAAAAATTATTGGTAGAGGCACAAACAAACAGTAATAGTAGAGCGCAAAGTCCCACGCTGGAAAGGAGACACATAGACAGACAGAGAAACAGTCAGCAAGGGGGAGAGGACAACGAAACCAAACGAAACTAAACCGTGAACTATATATGTGCTATGCTGTGCTACTGTCACAGCAAAATAAATGGAGAAGCAAGCCATGTATAAGAAAACTCCGATTTTTATTATTTTATACCTAGTAACGCACGCACTCACACTCACACAACACACACACAGACAGAGAGGCAGATATGCGTAAAAAGGCGACGAAACACAAAAAAAGAGGAAAACAAAATCACGCACGCACACATTCAAAAACATCTTTGAATGCACAAAAATGCATGCATGCGCACACTGTCAAGTGAGTTGTTGTTCAAAAAAAAAGATACAGAAAAGAAAAAACGGAAAAAAGAAGTCTTTTCATCCTTCGATTTGATAGACTATCGGTGTACAGTTGGACGAAGCAGGAGGACTTCTGTATGTAACTTTGTGTGTGCGTGTGTGAGCGTACATGCGCATGTGTACCATATAACAATCCTTAATTTGTGAAAAAGAAGATTGAGACCGCAATCGATCAAACAATAGAAACGGTATAGAATAAGTGAAAATACAACAAAATGGACCGGAGAGAAGACAAAAAAAAACAAAAAAGGGGACAAAATAAGTACCCGGAGAGAACAGCATAGCAAACTAACACACACGTGTGTGTGGAAAACACAAGATTTTATAAGTCGGTGGTAAGTGTAAAGCAAGCGAGTCGTATAAGAGAACAATACACATTATTTTCAAAAGAAGCTCCATTATTTCTCGCCCCCCTCCATCTTCCCACGCACTCTTTTCTCCACATTAACGCCTACACAAAAGCAGCTGAAAGAGGGTGGTGGTGAGGAAATAAACAAAATAAAACGCCTAGTGAAGAAACGCACTTACACACCTACGCACACACACACACACAAAACAGCATTCACGTGTAGTGAAAAATACGAAAAATAAACTCAGACGTATACACACAGACTCATACGTACGCACACACACACACATACACGCAACAGTCTTCGTTTTTCAAGCCGACTACTAGTCAAGCGAACCTCCAGCTCGCAAGTGACCACTTTTGTGAATAAAATACATACATGTAAAAGGTTGTTGTGTTGACAGATACCTTATAGCGAAGTAATTACTCGATTAGACAGTGTAGTAACGATAACAGTGGTAATGATAACAACATTAAATTATGTTTTACAACATATATATATATATGTGTAGGGGGGTTAAGGTTAATCGATCGAACGATCGATCGATTTGAAAGTCTTCTCATCAACTTTAGGCCTACTCATTTCATTTATTGATTGACTGATTGATTAATTTGTCGAAACAATGACAATAAGAGTAGTAGCAGTAATAATAATAATCATTGCATAATATATATATATACGTGTGATGACTCAATTGCATTTGATAAACATCCATTTCGTTCAGTTTTTATGTTGTATAGGCAATGTTCAATGTATATAATAATAGTATACTAGTAGAAAGCCGATATACACAGATATATAATTGGGCTGGATATGCGCATGCAATCTCATAAATCTACATTCACTTAGATAGCCAAACATGAGTGTTATAGTAAGACATACAGAGAGAGAATTGTACACTTGGTTATATATGTATGAGTATATATAGAGAGACGAAAGAGAGAGAGAAGAAAGGGCATATTTTCTTTGAACTGTTTCCATAACAAATGATACATTATAATTTATGATTTCGTTGTAAGTTAGTGCTCAACTCCTCTTCTTGACGCAGATCACGGCGCCATAATGTCACTTTATCTGAAAAAAAAATAAACAAACAAAACAGCACTGAATAACGTCTTTAGCGATATTGTGTACACAAGAAATTCCAAACACTATTTCAGATGGTTCCAGTGAGAAGTCGTGACCAGTAGGGTGCAGCAGGTCGGGTGTCAGGACAAACACTCACCACTGAAGACATTGGCTAGGGGGGTCGAGCTATGTCGTGAATTGGCAGAAGTTAGAATTCATGGGCTGGTCATTGGATCGGGTCCCAGTGGCTGGCTGAATGGTTTATGAGCTAGCTCGCCTTGTAACCAGAAGGTCCTGTGTTCGAACCCTGTCTGTGAGTACGTACTGATGAAGACTCTCAAACTAGGACGAAACAGCTGTCCAGTACTCCCAGGTTTTCCAATGGTTCTCTAACTAATGTCAGCTCATGATGAAATCCTCTAACCAATCAAATCACTACAAACCAACACTTGAATACCATTTTAGATGGCTGGAGAAACAATCACCAGTGAATTTCAGGAAAGCTTTGTGTGTTCTTATGGAGGTGTGTGTGTGTCAGAGGGGTTATTACACTTCCGGGTGCTCACACCGTAGAAGTTGATTTGTCCTTAAAGCATCTGAAACAGTAGGGGGGTGACATTAGGGTTGATGATGAAGACCGCAGAGCCCACCCAGGGACAAGTCACACACACATACACACACACGACTTCTTTGAAATGATTTTTGTAGTTGTATCCGTATTAAGATCGTACAGATGGTTACGCGACACCACAAGGTAAATCAGATCAACCATATATCTAGACAATAGAGAGATATCATAATAACTAGTTTATTGGTGTCTCATCTTATGTTACATATCTATCTTTCCTTGCCAGCGGTACAACTTCATCCTAAGACCCTCAAAAAATAGTGTGAGCAACCTTACATAGACACACACACACATACGCCATGATGGCAACAGCTTCTCACCACCAATAGGAATATCAGTTCCAGCCGGTGTGACTCATCGAATCATTGCGACATGGCAAGCCTGAACAACGTCAGGTAGGGTGGGGCGGGGGGCAGGCAATCGCCAGGAAATACCATAGACCCGACCCAAGTCTCATCCTTGTTGGATTAAAAACTCAGTTACCCGGAATAGGTATCTCATGTATCATCATCACACTATGTGAGCTAAACATTCTGTGTGATGATATCATAATACTGCCGACTTGAACACGTTGATAGTCGAGTGATTCGGCCGATGATCCTCAAATGATCAAATGTTGGCTATTGGCTAGTCATCTAACTTAGTGGAGATGTGGTTCCCTGACTGAAGTCTTCAAATTCCACCCAAAAAAGATATCATGTTAGAGTCCCACTTCACTCAACCGCCAAGTATCATAAGTCATCATACAACGTGCGCTATGTGTGTCTCATAGCCTATTTTTTTACATGGCTAATTTCTCTCTGATGACTAATCTTTAACAAAACCTAGCCTGGTGATGGCTACATTGGAAACTCGACTGTCAGTGCTAAGTAGTAAAGGCATACAACATTGGTTAAACACTATCCAACTACTTCAGTGAGTTACAACATTTCTGATTGAAGAAGGAGCAACACTGAGTGAGAGAAATCATCCAGGGGACACTATTTCACCCGAAACTGCTGTTGATGAGAGTCAATAGGTCAACAAACTACTACTGTATTCCCTTCAAAGGCAGTCTTCGCTGAGTTTTCCAATGTGAATCACCTGACACATGGCTGGCATTGTCATATAGCCAACTGTTGAATGAGGTTGATGAAGATTTGGATTACTGTATGCCATAGTGTTGAAGCAGTTTCCAGATTACTTCTCAGTCAACGCTGTCTGTCGAAGGATTTTTCGAAATCCATGAAGATGAGGTACAAGTTTGGCTGCTATTCTATGCCTTGCTCTGTGATGACGATGTGTAGAGTTACAATTTGATCCACACATGTGATTTGCCTTTCCTGAATCCAGCTTATTTCGAATCGGTGAATTTCTGCATCCAATGCAAACGTAATCTGAACCAATTTTCTAATTAACTAATTAATTTTTTACACATAAATGATACACAAGCAGTGTAAAAGACAATGAAATCCTTTCAACTTACCTCTTAATGAGGATAAAATCTTGACTTGTTTGCCGAGTAAATATTCTAGACGGGCACTATAGTCTGTAAATGAAATACGACAAAGAAAGAAATAGGGAAAACATATTCTGGTCAGTATGGAATAAAAATCAAAAAGAACATAGACACGAACATCTGCATGTATTAGTAAACCACCAGCTGATTTATTAAATACACTAAAAATTATCCCTGGGAAGCTCATGCACTATACTGTCTCAAACCAAAAGTTAAAGATAAAGAACAAATTAAGGATAACACTGCTGTTTGTTGAGGTAGGATGGTGGCTTGGGATGCGCAACACATACCAGCAGCCATCTTAGACTATACTACAGGACTGCTCGACACGGAAGTCGGCCACCTCACCTAAGGGAAACTGAAAACTCTGATCCATGAGCTCAAGAATTCCATTCGGAAAGAATGCTGGATATATCTTTTTCGGTCACCGGCAGCTATAGGAGTGTAACTTATAATGCTATAGTGATACATTGTGGATCAAAGGCTGTGGGGTTGTAATCTCCTGGGAAAACCACTTGCTTGGGTTTTACCATCCCTGCAGCAGTATCTCAGAACTCATATACACGTGGTGTATCTTTTGGTGCTCGTATTGTAAGGACTTTGTGTTTACATAAATAGTCGGTTTGATAACCAGTTAACACCGGCTAGAGAACCATAGAAAACCAAGGAGTAATGGACAGTCACCGTTTAATCAGTCTAGTTTGGAACTCTTCTGCCATACGTACTCACTGGGGCTCGAACTCAGAACGTTCCGGTTACAAAGTGAGCTCGTTGGCCATTCATTTAGCCACTAGGACCCAATCCAGTGGGCCCATGAATTCCGAATTCTGCCAATTCATAAGATGCAAATAGCACAACCGCCAGTCAACGTCAAAAGTGGATAACCGATCTCTCCTACCTGAATTGGCGAACTCCACTGATTGGTTACGACTTCTCACTCGTAGTGAGCCATTGGATTAGGCTTCTCTTGTAACCGGAACGTACTGGAGTTCGAATCCCAGTGGATGCATATTCCTGATGAGCCCCAAACTAGGATGAAATAGCTGTCCAGTTCCCCCGGCTGGTTTTCAATGGTTCTCTAGCTGATATCAATCCGTGATCAAACTTAAAAAACACAGAGAATTAACAGCTTCCGCTTGACAACAAAAATCCAACGATCATAAAAAATGATGACTCAAGTATTTTTCACAGTCACACAGTGAAGTACTGATCAACAACAGATTATTAGCACGTCAAATGAAATAGTATAAACACTAATCAACAATTTATCAAAAAAAATATTCAAGCTTAAGCAACTAATTAACTAACTAACTGACCTTCAACATCGAATTCCACTTGATTTGATATTTTATACAATGAATAGTGCTCTTTAGTCCAATCAGACATCGACTGAAGAAGAAAAATTGATCGAAGTGGAACAAAAAGAAAGAAAGCAGAAATATAAATAAACCATTTAAACTGTGTGAGTGTGTGTGTTTGTGTTAATGTGCAAAAATCACGAACAAATAAATGATAATGAACTTAAAACTAAAGCAAAAGAAGCATAGATCTATACGATCGAGATCAACAGTATGCATATATATGCTTAAAAATGCAACTCCTAGCATCATTCTCTACATGAATCGGCAATATGTCCATGTATAGGACATGTAGAGGAAGAATTAAAGTCAATAGGTTCCAGAGTTCGAGTCCCCCCTACCTAGTTCCCTGAGTTCCACCAAGTGGAGCATAAGGGGCTCCCCTAAAGGCACTCAGTTTTTTCTACAATCCATTTCAACTAGCTACGGGATGGTGACAAGCTTTTCTTTTCAGTTCACAGGATTTTCCCCAATCCATTCGGTTCTTACTGCTAGAGGGCTAGAGGTTAAGGAAGAGGAGGAGAAGCACCGATGACAGTCTGCAGGATAGTCTGTTGGAAATGCCTTTGAGCACGCATACTGTTTCATTATTCTTGTTTCATTTCTAATCCAAGATTCTTTGTTAAGTACTCAATATTTAGAGAGTATGAATCGATAGAGGGTACTGCGTCGGTGATTCGACAATAGGACGCTCGCCAACCATGTATATGGTCCGGGGATCAATCCTCGTAGTCAGCGTATTCCTAAACTTCGTTAAGCCAGTAGTAAGACCGATCAACAGGGAAGGTTTGGCATGAGGCGGCCAAACCCACCCTGGTAAAAGTAAAACACCAATGACTGCTGGGTAAGGATACTTTCAATGTGAGATAAAATTATCAGTAGAAGACTTACATCACAAACAGCTTTATGATCATCACAGATCTCTTCTTCCATACGTTCAATATGATCAATAACTTCATGAAAATGAAAAACTTCCTCGGGGACTTCACCTTCCTAGAAAAACCCCGGCCACCCAAAATAAAAAAATTAAAACAAGAGTGGTTGTTTTAGTGCAAATAAATAAAAATAAATGATACTGTAACGAGTCGATAGACGTTTTGCCAGGGAACAAAAAAGAACAAGAACAACAAAAGTGTGCCAAGATAATATGATGAGCTTATTTTCTACTGGGGTTCGCAGAATACTCCTCTCTCTCTCTCCCAACTGCCTACAACTTGAACAATACAAATGATATGTTTATATGCAACATTTGAAAGAACAAAGTTGAAGCATGCCATCAACGAAACAACTTCTTATTATCAATAATGTCACACAGATGACACCTATGTAGTGTACAACAATGAAAGTCATGCTTGCCTACCCCCTATTCGGATTATTTATCATTCAACGATGCATATACACACAAATTAATATTGAATTTACTATGGGACATGAAAACGAAATGGAAAGCTCCATTTCCTAGACATTGTCATACACAACACAGCCTGGAAGATGATAGTCTCTGGAGATCAATTTTTACCGAAAGCCTACATGGAATAGACAACACTTACATATATTAATAACTTCTGTCCAAATGGCTTTTATAAACGAGCACTAGTCAAGCGAATATTATTATTGTTTCCTTTACTTCTTAGAGGAACATACGGCTTCAACCGAACGTCTCCATTGCGTTCGGTTCTCTGCCAACGTTTTCACCTGGCTCTACGTCTGCCCATATATTTTCATCTCCTTTTCACACATAGTCCTCCTCCCCCATGTCACCCTCGCACTGACCACCAACTAACTCGCCTCCTCCCATTCGGGTTCCACTCGAGTGACGGCCCGACGTGTGATGTCATTCACATGACCAAGTCACTCCCATTTTCTCATGCATATTTGTTGTACAATCGGTTCCTGATGGGATGGTTCGTTCACTGCCAGAAATCCCTACCTGCTGCTGATCAACTCTGGCCGGCCATCTCATTTTGAGTAGAAGGGAGAGAAGACGTCTGTTGATAAAGGTGAGTTAGTTTGTTCGAAGTGGCCTTGGTGACGCGGCGCGGCGCCAAATCTTTGATCCGTATAGTAAATATCATTGACTTCGCATTGGAGTTGAAAATCCAGATCGTATTTTCATTTTCATGGTGAGTAGAGCTGTTGATCTCCACGCAGACTTGAGAGAAACGAGAGCTTGCTTTGCTTTCCCGATCCTCGCTGCTTTGATATCTTCGACAGTTCCGTTGGCCTGTAATTGAAACGATGCTTCCCATGTAGGTAGATAGGTTAAGGAGGTTGCTTCTTTCATATTCCTCCCATTTATGCTGATTGTTCTTTATTGTTTGTTGTTGTTGGTGTTGGCTAGGAATCTTCATCACTCACCTCTGTTTTCTCTATGTTTACCTGAAGGAAGTCCTATCTTTGATGCTTCTTCTGCCAACCTGTTGCTTTCCATCACTTGCATATCTTTCAGTTTGTGAGAAACCAGACATAAATCTTCGGTGAAGTTCAGGAAGGTAACAATATTGCAGAAATAGTCAACAGGAGATTGAATGCGTCGCTAACCAGAGCCCATCCTAAAGCCAAGTTGGTTCCCGTTTATTGAACAACATGCTCATCTTTGGTGCAATGAAAAATCGATAGATAACCCTACTCATGTTAACTCCAAGTGTATATACAAATTTTAACATATATCTGCTTGAGCAGTTACACTGGAAAGTTACACAGAAAGAAAGCCACACCTCGAATTTTCTGAACATGTGCCGAACAAACTCTTAAAATAGCACAATTACCAGACATCTCGATACGGGTCATGAGGTAGGCAGGTGGAATCGTTTAAAATTGTCAGTAGACAAAAAAGCTCAATTCTCCTCAAGTTTTGTGCAGCAACCACTTCGAAATGTCTTCTTCTATGATAAATTACTGCCTCACCTTCACAACCTGCTGCAGCACCCTACTGGTCACGACTTCCCACCCACTAGAACCCCAGGTTAACTGTCTGAATACGACGCCCAATACTTGAAAATGCATATCCCACTAGTTTTCATCGACAACGATAAGAACACATCAAAAACAGTTTTAAAAAATAAAAAGAATGATTTAAACTAACTTACATTAGCTGATCGAAGCATAGCCAGGTCATCATCACCGCCAGCAGATAGATTGGAATGATTATTTGTCAGAGTAGTATTCTGCCAGTTCATTAAACCACTACTAACACCAGTATTTGCTCCATTACTGGGATATGAATTCTTTCCTATATTGAGAAAAATAATAAAAATTTACTTTATTCCAAAAACAGTACTTGTGATACAGAATGGAATTTTCAGCATTAATCACACAATATTGCATCTAATTTCTTCAAATTATAAATAAAATTAATCACACAGAAAATTTTCCACATTTACAATAGAGGTAGTATCAAAAACATGCAGCATATAATATAATAATAGTAATAATAATAATAACAGCTAGGGTAATAATAATAAGAATACAAGTGAAAATTGCCGTTGGCTTGTTTCACACAGTATTGGCAATGTGGTATAGAAATCCTAACATGTTTAAAAATATTGAATATAATGTTCGCTTTACATGATATGGTGAGGGGAAAAACAAAGATTACAGCAGTCATAGAGATAAGTTGGTGTTTGCAATTATGAAAGTAAAACAAACAAAGAAGCAACAGGACCATAAATATAATAGAAATAATAAAAGTAAAACTTGAAGGTATATAAAGATGGATGGATGGAGGAAATTGTTTATTTACTAGATGAAAAAAGGTCAGTTAATTCTTACCTGACACTATTTTCATCACATAAAATACGTGCCAAGTATGGTATCATAGAGTTTTTATACTTAGACGTGCGAGCATACAGTTTTCTAAAGTTACTTCTTGTTCTACCTGAGGCGGAGATGCAAGGTGAAAGCTGAGCGTGAAGTGGATGCTCCAAGTCAGACAAAATCCCTTTAGCAAATTTATTGCATGAAGTCAAGTGCCTATCGACAACGACGTTAACTATGTGGTCTACTGGGACACCACTCACCCTACCGACAGTCTTCAGTATCCTACGAATTGTGACATAGTCCCTTTTAAGCAAACCAGGAAAGAATAAGGGTGAAAAGTAAAGAAGAATAGGTAGGATGCAAGAGTTTATGAACTGTAAGAGGAGGGGATAAGGAATAATCATAATAATGATAAGGGTAATTATACATATATTGCTTGTATAAGAACAAACCTGTCACACTGATCAATGCACCACCACCACCAACACCTCCAAGATTTCGATAATTTCCTTGAATAGTTGTTGTTGTGCTTGCACCTCCAACTCCACTAGTTGACGAATAACTACGAGCTGTCAATTGTGCTTGATTATTATTACCCGGAGCTGGGAGATCAGTATTACTATTACCTAAATAAAATAAAAAGTAGAAAAGAGTGAATGCACCATGCGCCAGCCATCACGGAGAACGATTTTCAGCCACCCATATCACCAATTGTCTCCAACCGTCACTGCTTCTTACCGTCATCCCAAGGACCCCCCCAACCAGCCCCAGTCATGAAGTCTACACCACCCGTCGTATCTGGCTTAAACCAACTGTAGTGGATTTATTTCAGTGACTGATGAAGGGGCATTTTGGTTTGACTACCACTAACTCACTTTTTTCCAACCTCATCCATCAGTCTGCTTACATTGGCCGCCGTCAAGGAAAGTGACCAGCTAGGCTAGGCATGTGCAACGACAATCCATGTAACTTTACTACACAACCTCGTCGACTGATTCCCCCTCCAACCGATACCTCACCTCAATATACCTAACCCTGTTATACGACTTAGCACGGGAGATAGAACGAAAACATCTAAGATCAAAGACAGTTAGTCTTTTGACGTCTTCCATTTTCAATGGCGATGTCTCACAGTCATATTTATGCATAATAATAATAATGTTATTATTATTCCCGTGCGTCCAGTGTACAATATAGCGTTTCACCAGCCCATCTCCATTTCAAATTAATCTTTGTAGTCTATTGTAGCTGTCTCCACGATTGCCTATACAAGCTTTCATTTCGTCCCCCACTTAATCTCCTCTTCACATTCACCGTCAGACATACGCTAAACTTGCCACCTCCCGTCTTCGTGTTCCATCCAAAGGGTCTGGCACGTGTATATTTTCTTTATATGTGCCAATTATTAGTAGTGATATTCAAAAACGAGTTTATGAATTAACTAGTCAGGTGGTGTAATTATGCCGTATCGATCTACAGAGCTTAAAACCTTCATAAAAACTAACTAGTGGATTTCACGTTTCTAAGACCACTCTCTCTTTTCATATACACATTTAAAAATTTATGGAATTTAATTAGTCCACAACCGATAGATGTTTTTTTACTGTTTATTGACGGGGAAATGTTGATGACAATCTTATTAAGTCGGATTGTATGGCTGATAGCTCAAACATATTTGTCAAATAAAACAAACACCAATTAGTAATTGATGTAGATTACAAACTGAGGAATCGACAAATGGAATGAGACATAATTAATTCCACTAGCAAATAGAATTATTCCATTTTTTGTTGTTGTTGTTGTTGTAATTTATGAAGCAAAATACACTGTGTGCATAAGCATCATTTCTATATTATATATCGTCATCAGACTTGAGTGATGCACTGGTATGGGGTGATTAAATCAAGCCAAAATGTAGATATCAATTACTATCGGAAAAGCTAAACACGCTCAAATTGGATGGTCTTATAGTAAGATCAGGTTTTAAAGCACGAGTAGTTAGCTAGATGTGATTGGTAGACGATGGTGATCACCGAACTCAATTTAACGTAGCACCCAAGATAGGGTCAAACAGGTGATCCACCGTTAACGTCCAAAGGCTTTAGTGTGTGATGATGATGGGGAGAAGGGAAAGCAGGGAGAGAAGATTGATGCAATTCTACTGGACCATATTTCTTTAATTTCTCCTTTTCAAGTCCTCTAGAAGCATTAACAAACCAAATCATCTTTGAGAAGCTGTGAACAACATACTACCGTCGATACGTCGATGATACTTTTGTTGTTTGTAACGACATGAGTCATGCATCCGTAATATTTGACCGCCTGAATGAGGCCCACCCAAACATTAAATTCACCATGGAATACGAACACAACGATGAGTTTAATTTCCTGGACCTAAATGTAAAAAGAAGAAACGATGGAACGGTCGAAAAGTCCATCTACAGGAAAGAAACTTGGACCGGACAATACCTTCATTATAACAGCTTCTGCCCTATGAGCTACAAGCGGGGATTAGTGAGAACACTATACGACAGGGCCAGGAAGTCATGTTCGCCTAACAAAGTAGAAGAAGAATTAAGCTTTGTCGAAAAATGCCTTAAAGAAAATGGGTATCCAAAAGGATTTATCCTAAAGTACAGCAAAGAAAGAGATGAGAAAGAGAAATCTCCAACAGTTGAGAAGAAGAAAGTGTTCGTTTGCCTCCCATACAGAGGAGAAACCGTATCGCAAAAGATTGAAAAGAGGATGAAGGGAGCAATAAAGAGATGCTTCCCTGCAGCCAATTTGGTGACACTATACAGTACTACGTGCTCTATAAGGCAATCAAAACTGGATAAGTACCCTGCTGATGTTGCCTCCAACTGCATTTATAAATTTACGTGTACCTGCGGCAGTAAGTACATTGGAAGAACAGAAAGAAGGGCTTCTATCCGGTTTTCAGAGCATATTCCAAGAAACTTATGCCTAAAAGGAAGCAGATATTTACATAGTGCAATTACCAGACACCTTGTGGATACGGGTCATTTTGTCGAGATTTCTAAATCCTTCAAAATATTAAACATACAAAGGACAGCGATTCTACTACAATTTACTGCTGAAGCAATTGCAATCAAACGTCACAGACCAAACTTATGCATACAGAAAGAGAGTGTGGTCAATCTCTCACTTCCTTGGTAACCATATCACTTTCATTACACTGATTAGTCATAACACTAGTGAGCTCAACTCACTTAGCAAGTTTTCAAATTGATGAACCTTGACCTTTTTGAGTTGCTATATTGACACTGTTTATTACATTTTTCTGTTTTCTGTCTTCTCTCACCCCCTCCTTTTTTTCCTTCTTTCATAGTTTGATAGTATATAAATTGATGGTGATTGACTTAGATTATAATACCTATATTTCAGATGCGTTCACCTTATAATGTTTTCTTTATTACCTTTCAAACAATGGAATGTTATTATTTATAACCATTGTAATTTCAGGTAGTTTGCAGCTGATGAGAACCTGTGAAATAGAATATCATTTTATACTGCAAATCTGGTCTTTCTTTCTCTATCAGAATTTTATTAATTTGCACGTGAGAAGGACAATGAAGTCCTACTATTTGACGAATGAGTACCCCCCATGAAACTGAGGATATGTGCAGCTTATGAGAGTATGACAAAATACAAAACTAATATCAAGCAAACCTTATCGCTGACTAAAATCATTCATTTATATAGAACTACACAACCTACAATTCATACTGATATATTTATTATGTGGGAGGTATTTTTTTTTTGATAATAGAGGTCGTTCAGTGATATTTTGATTGCTAGATTGTAGAAAAAACGAAAACAAGATTGTGGAAGGTCATAAGGAGTCGATGCAACTGCGCCATTGAGAACGATTTTCAACCATATCACCAATTGTGTGCGTCGGTGGTACAGTGGTTAGGACTCTCGCCGACCATGCACATAGTTCGAGGTTCAATTCGCTGCCGACGTACACCTGATATATATATGGTCGGCCTGAAAAATTTGGGCTACCGATATCCATGCTGAAAATTCCATACTAGTAGTAAAAATACGGTGTGGAATCAAGCTGTAATCAAAAATAAAAAAAAATTGCCTCCCGCCATTGGTGTTCACCGTCCCAAGGACCCCAACCAGGAAGTCCACATCTTCCCACGTGTCTAAATGGATTTTTCATTGACTGATGAAGCCATATTTTGATTTGACCACGACTGGCTCTTTTCCAACCTGACCTTATATCAGCTAACATTGCCAGTCGAGGGCAGTCTTATTACTGGCTAAGCGAGGCAAACGAGAGCGTCGGCCGGGGATCGAACCCCGGACCACGTGAGACCCGGTTGACGAGCATTCTACCGCTGTGCCACCAACGCACTCCCCACTCAATACGTATATTTTATTAAGTGTGATTCTCTACTTAAGATTGACACTTACTGACAAAAGAATGTGCCATAAATTACGCAAAACAAATAGAACTGCAAAAATATTAAAACAAGACGAGAACTGTCTAGTTACAGCAGTTATGTCGATAAAGAAAGAGGGATTTGTGTGGAGAAATTCTTTCATAAGAGATAGAGGAGGGTAGGGTAGAAAGAAAACCAAATGGTGGGGTGGGTGGGAGGTTTGGGGAATTACATAATCAACTCACTTGCTGATAGTGTACCCGGGCCAAGTTCTTTCACTCTGAAAATAAGAACAACAAATAAACGATAAATCATTAAGGAAGAAAGAAGACACATGCATTCGTTAAATTATGCAGACTTGTGTGTATGCGTGCGCATTAGACGACTAAACACACACACATGCCCAGAGCGCCAGACAACACTACACATCATAGCACGTGACAAACACAAAGATGTGAATCAAAACAGATAATTGATGAATTAGCAAACTATTTACACCTCCTATGCCTTTCTCTTTAAATCAATCCAGTTCAGATCGATACAACATTGGAGCTTTACAGTAAATATAAAAATAAAGAATGAAACTGAACTTAAATTTGAAATGAAGACTAGTACCATCCATCAATCATCAGTAGAGAAAGTCATCCTTTTTTCACAAATACTGTAGTGATTCAGATTTCCGTTTTACTGTTGAACAAAGTTATGCAATAAGATCTTGAAGCTTCATCGACTGATATGACCGGGATAAACATCTACAATTATACCATATAAGTAGAGGACATCTGAGGCCCTAGGTAGGATTCTCAATAAAGCAGGAATTAGGGTGGCATTCAAATCTACAAACTCACTCAGGGACAAGCTCTGTAGGCTAAAAGACCCGGTGGACCCAATCAGACAAAATAATATAATTTGCAAAATATTCTGCAATGACTGTGGGTGAGGTCAACTACATAGGTCAAACTAGAAGGTTGAGGGTAGTCACGTTGTCGGAACATACGAATTTATTGGCTGAGGTAAGAATGGTTGACCCCGAGAAGATAAGTAATTTAGAAAAACAAGCTCAGCAATGGTACTGCATGTAGTAACACACAACCACACCATAGGATGGGAGAGGGTTAAAATTCTAAGAAGTAATATAGGTAGGTGGAGGGCGAGAGAGAGAGACAGAGTGATTACCGCATCCTGCCTGGTTCATCGAGTCTACACCCAACACATGCAACAGAGGTGACTCAAAGAAAATATCAGAGATACGGAAGATATTGTTACCAGTCAAATCAAAGGAGGAGAATAAATAACTTAAAATTCTGTTTCACTTCACACACATCATAACTTTCTAACAAGTTACTTATTTTGACTATAAAAACACTCGTCTTATTTCCCATCTGATTGTATTTGATTGAAAACACTCATATTATCATTTCTGGGTGTACATTATCCTATACACACTTTTATTGAAATGTCTAATCATCAATTTCTACTCATGTATATAAACGGAGTAAAAAGTTGTGTGAGTGACTTGGTATGATTTGTACTCGAAACGTGGTCACTACTAAATATTACTGTACAATACTGTGTGATTTATCAAAATAAAATCTTATCTATCTATGATGGAGTTATACTCTACCACAGTGCCTAAATTTTATACTTATATCAATTGAGATATACATGTTACGCGCATCCTTGAATATCGCCTTCCTCTCAACGAGCAATTATGCCTGACATAAGACCAGGCATAAGAGTTAGGAGAGGATTGAAATCACATTAGTTTATGACACCTTTAACAGATGATTTGAGCCACATAGTAGGGGAGATACAAACTGCTTGACTGGGGTAGTCGGGATGCTAAGAATGGAAAGGAGACGATTGGCTATAAAGTTTAAAGTCCTTGTCAATCAGGCAGATGTAATCACTCTTTGTAACCTCCTATAAACATATCCACTAAACCATCATCTTTTTCCACGGTTACTATTCTTTCTCCTGTACACCCCTGCTTGCTATGGTTCTTATGTATCTACTTTCTCTGTTTTCTTTGTTCTACCTTTATGCGCTACATGGAGTGTGCAAACTTGAAGTGTTCCGCTTTTGTGCAAAGTCCCATGTTGCGCTAAATACCTATCACGAATTGGTAGGAGTTGGAATCCATAGACCGGCCAATGGATCGGGTTCCCAGTAGCTTAATGGTGTATGAGTTCGCTTAACTTGTTATCCGGAAGCTCCTGGGTTTGAACCCTGGTAGTGGGTGCGCACTGCCGAAGACTTAATCCTAAACGGCTGATTTCCCGATGGTTCTCTAACTGATGTCAGCTAGTGATCCATCCTGAAACTAGATCAGTCGGTCAAGAAATTTATTCCACGTAATGAATGGCAAGATAGATAGATAGATAGATAGCAAGTTCTTTATCTAAAGGGTTTCAAGGAAAAGTCTTAGTGCCTTGTGTGAACCGTCTTATTGAAGTCAATCCTCTAAGTGTCCAACTCATTGTTATGCGTGATAGTTCAATGGTTAATATAAACTCATGAAAGAATAACTTAGATTTTAGATAATAAGTCATGATGGAAAAGGAGCTTTGGAACCAAGACACATTAAATTAGCCCCCCCCCTCTTTTTTTTAGAAAGAATGGGTTTCACACACACCCTCTGGAGGTTAAGTGAGAGGTTCATTGGTAGGTGGTAGCATGACTATATTTTCCATCCAAACTCCACAAGGATCACAGAAGCGACAATTGATCACAAGCAAGGTGTTTGTGTGTCAACATCAGAATGAGACAATTATATCATGTATTCATAGAGAAATATCCAAAAACTGATCCCCCACACTGATTTTATTTCGACTTTGGAGATGTCGTATGTCCCGGAAGGATAATGGAGAACACAACCACCAGAAAAACCGGGTAAAAAAATTTTTGCTGCGAACCAAAGATTTATATTTGTATAGCGTACACTGAGATGAGAATTATTCCCCCTGCCTACATGGAACACCTCGCTTACACACCTTCCAGTTTTACATACCCTTGTTATTGTGAGAGAAAAAATGAATTACTTTCTTTTGGCTAGAAGTTATAAGTTGTTGAATCGATCACGAGTTACACTCCTAACAATTGAGAGCAACTACTAGACAGTCGATATAATTGACGAATTGTTTGTAAATTCTTTCCTAAACGACCTATTTATAATACATTTATACTTATTTAGACATTTCAACTAACTGTGTAATTCGTATACGGAAAACTCAGCGAGGCGTTTGAAGTAAACACAGGAGTCAGACAAGGCTGTCTGCCTATTATCAACAATGATATTCCTAATTGTAGTGGACTGGATTATGCGTCAGACAGTGGGAAACGAGAAGACAGGGATATCCTGGACCGACCGACGTGAAGAACTTAGAAGACCTGGATTTTGCGCATGGATGATTTATGTTTGATGTCACACAAAATCGAAGACTCACAAGCGAGCGAAAACCCACAAACTGGTCGAAGAAGCAGCCGGCGAAGACAGGACTCCAAGTGAACATAGACAAGAAGGAGGTTATGAAAATAACCAGCCAACAATAACAACAACATCCAGCGCCAGTCACTATCAACGGGAAGGATTTGAAAGAGGTTACTTTATTCACTTATCTAGGGAGCATTGTCCTCCTCAACTACAGGAAATCGGAACGGACGGGGATGTCAAATCGAGCGAGAATCGGGAAGGCTAGCGAGAAACACATTCATTCATCAACCAACTGAAACCAATCTGGAAATCTTCATCACTCAGCCAGCATCAACAACAAAATTCAGTCGGATTTTCAATACAAGCAACGTCAAGTCAGTCAGTTCTTCTATACGGATCAGAAACTTGTCAGGCGGGTGGGTCACAAAGAATATCTCCAACAGCCTGTTGCAGACCAACCTTTATCAACCAACAACTGTCTTCGCTGGCACTATACTGAAGATCAGATGGCCGGCCGGGCCGGAAACAATCACCAACAAGAAACTATGGCTGGGAACAAACAAAACAAGAACCAATCGCCAGCCAACAAATATGCAGGAGAAAGTGGATTGAGATGGATTGGACACTCGCTGAGGAGACCGCTGGGTGACATCGCGTGTGCGTCAGGCCACTGCTCGACTGGAACCCGACATAATGGGAAGCGGTACCTTGTGTAACTAAACTTTGGTTAACTAATTTTGTCTTACAATACCTGTTTTGTACATATTTAGAAACCTACATTGGCAGCATAGCTGCCCCACCTCAAGGCACTATTGAGGTAAATTTGATTTTTAATGTCATTACTGTCTAATAGAATCACTAAAATATTGGAGAATAATCATGTGTTCCCTGCTCTCAATGAGTTTCTTTCGGCTACACAGTTGAACGTAGGGATCAGTTTCTTGCATTCAAATCATAATTGAATTTTCATCAAGTTAGTAATAGGATTGTATTACGCCGATAAATTGCAAGCCACCATAAATAATCCGGTAAGGCCGAGAGTCAATACACGGTTTCGGTTTTCCTATAGAAATATTCCCTCATGTGGCCACACGATTATAGACTCTATCAGGTAGGTCTTATTCTCCTCTGAAAGATGGTCCTCAGAAAAGCGAAAGGACGAATGCTAAGGTTTGGGAATTATAAATGAACTGGCGGAGATGCATGACTACCTAGGGAACCCGGAAAACACTGATTCAAAACTTAGCATACATTACCTCCAGAGTTCATAAACGACAGTATAGTCTACCTACCTATCTATCTACCTGGCAACTATGGGGAATGCAGCTTCTGGATAAGACTTGAAGTCAAAGGCTTGGAGGGGGGAGTAGAGGTGACCTCTTAAGACCAACCATCTATTTCGCTCTAGGCGTCTGACCAATATCCCAGCCTTCGCATAAACTATGAAATTTTCTGTCGCCCATCTCCTCGCTACCAATAATCTAAAACTCAAAAGTTGATTTCCTTACTTACTAATTCAACACTACTGTACTTTACACACCCTAAAGAGTGGGCAGTGAGCAAGAACACTGTGCTGTAAAGAGAGTATCACACAATGCATGTTTGTTCATCGGTGACCATTGATTCTCGTACATCCATTTCTCCTTCACATAATATTAGAAAATTATAATGATGAAGGAAAAAACCCCCAAAAAAATTAGTTTAAAAATCTGAAGAAGAATAATTAAACAAATAACTAATTACAATTACATAGTGACTATTAATAATTAGGCCAATTGCTGAAAATATCAATAAAGATACTTTAGTCACTATGGTAACCCACTAAATAAAATGTTGCTTAGATGTATTATTATTAATACAGTGAATACACCTATTGAGTGTTGTACACGTTAAAAGAAGGAATTAGTAGAAAAAAGTTATAAATTTTTGAAAACGAAAAATATATATGTGATATCATGTGAAAAAGGAAAGTATATAAGTATACAAAACATTTGAAGTACAAATGAGCTTGATTTATCCACCCCCTTTTCATACAATCAAGAGATGAATGTGATCTTTCAGTGTTTTTTTTTTTTGTCATTCGTTTACGTTCCCAGTGGTGGAACATAGGACCAGCTTCAAGCTACAGGTTAGAAGTTTCGGTAGTAGTGGTGGTGTTTATTTTTTACAGGATGAGTTTGCTAGCCAGCCTCATGCCCAACCTTCCCTCTTTACCAGTCTTATTACTTGGAGGCTTAGAGAGGTAAAGGAGTGCTTCCAGTGGCCGAAGATCGAACCCAGGATATTGTTAGGCACGATTGGCGAGCATTCTACCGCTGTGCTACCGACGTACGATTTTTCAGTGTAGTGGATGTGTTCTCTGAATAGTATATATTCTAATCACGAAGCTTTCATTGACCTTCCTCTCCTAGACAGCGACTACACAGCTTGATGTAGTGCAATATGGAGTGAGTTTTCTGGAATTTCGCCACATACCAATGTTGTATTCGAAGTTCCTTCGTACGATATTGAGGAACTCTGTGTAGCAGTGTGTAGCATTCATGCAGCGATGCGGAGATGCTCCACATCCAGAGTTGACAAGGTGTTCGAGAATGGAGCTGTTAGTATTTTTTTTCTCCTCTAGCTAGCCAGCCAAGCTGGACAGTGTTCCAGAATAGGTTTGCAGACTTGACTTTGCGTGTATGGCCGATAATAATTTGTTCCACATGAAATACACAATGAGGTAGTCAAAAAGTTAATTTCTATGAGTATCGATCGTTGCATTAAGATTGACTTTTTTGACGTTTAATAGCCACGTGACTTGTCCTACAAACATAATTCGATCAATTCGCTCTACATGAGATGAACCCATATATCCTCATCAGTGGCAAAATGATGATTTGAGTACCAGTCTTCCGAAAATTCTGACATTCCAGTATTTCCACTGTTTAAAATTTTCCCTTTCCCTACTCACATTGGTGTGTGTATGTGTGCAAAAAGCCTACAGATGTTGACATTAAAACAAAATGTACACCACATCTGTACCCCTTGGATTCAAACAGTTGAAATACCAATAAAATAATGCCAAAGAATTTCTAAAGGCCGATATCACTTGAAGTAAACACTGAAGACTTTGTATGCCACAGAAAGACAATAATAAAGACTTCACATAGAACTACACCCCCCCCCAAAAAAAAAAGTTATAAAGCGAACTCACCTATCTGCATATCGTAAGGTATTTAGGGTATGTTCACAACTCGACATACCAGGTGATATCATTGCAATCATACAGGTTCGTGAACGATCACCAATAAATGAATCACGTAATACCTGAGTTAATTTACTTGCACGAAAAGGTAAATGAGCACCACGTCGACCAAGTGCACGAATACACTCCTATAACATTAAGAAGAGGAAATACAGAGAGACTCTTTCAAAGTTAAATATTATACAAGTTCAAAATAAACCTCAATGTGCGTTCCCGAGATACTGAAACAATACTGAACCTCTACCACAAATACATCATTCATCAAAAACACCATACAAAAGTGGAAAAGGCAAAAACCGAAAGAAAGTTAGAAACAAACAAATGTCAGCATAATCGGAAATGACTGAATCAACGGTTCACCATGGCTTATGTCGATTCACAATGAAACTTGGCTTAAAACCAGTTCTTGGACAAGACCTAGGCTTCGTGCTAGTCAGCATTCATTCGGATCATATTGCAACTCAACGCGCCATCACTATCCAACGGAGCAGAGAACGACATTCAAAGCCCTATTTCAAATTCATAGGACTTTGAAAAAGCCTTCGACGGGATTGATAGTGAAGTAGTGCGGAAACTACCTTAAAACTGTGGAGTTTGCAGTGCCCCAAATCTTTATCAACGTCATTTAACAGTTGGGTATATGACGATGCCATGCGTCAGGCAATCCACAACAGGAGTAAGATAAGACTGACTGATTACTATCACCGACAATGATATTCCTAATCGTGGTGGACTGGACTATGCTGGAAACTGTGTGTGTGTGGAGAGCGAGAACACAGGAAGGAATACGTTGGATCGTGAAGAGGACTCTAGAATATCTAGACTTCGAGGATGATTTATGTCATGTGTCACACAAAATCGAAGACTTACAAGTGAAAACTAGCAAAAACTGGTAGAAGAAACAGCAAAGACAGAACTTCAAGTAAACATACACAAGACGGAGATGATACACTTAACCAAAAACAACAACAAGCACCAATCACTATCAACGGGGGAGATTTGAGAGGGATCACATTCTTCACTTATCTAGGAAGGATCATTTCAACCACAGGCGAAACAGATGAAGATATCAAAGAGAGAATCGGAAAGGCAAGATATATCTTCAACAATCTGAAATCGGTCTGGAAATATGTTTCACTCAGCCAGCCAGCATGAAGAACAAGATTCGAATTTTCAGCACAAATATGAAGTCAGTCAGCTCTTCCAGTATATCGGTCAGGAACTTGCACTGCGCGTAAGTCACGAATAGCATTTCAAACAGACCACTGAAGACTTTTATCAACAGCTGCCCTCGCTAGATCCGTATTGAAAATCAAATGAATGATCGGAAACAATTAGTAACAAGAAACTGTGGCTATGAACAAACCAACCAAGGACCGATTACTCAACAAATATGTAGGGGGAAAAGGAGATGGATTGGGCAAACGCCACTGAATGACGCCGCGTTCAATGCAGGCTATCTCCCGAGTGGGTCCAGAATGGGACACGATGAGTTGTGCGTGGATCCGAGGGTGACATAGAGGAGACAGTGCAAGGAAGAGATGAGAGACTACGGGCAATTGTGTGGCCATCTGAAGAGGACATTACAGAATCGAACAAAGTGGAGATATGCTGTTGAAGCCTTATGTCCCACTCGGAACCCAAGAGAATAATAATTACTGTTGGACAAAACGACAAAATATTACCACCAGTGAGACAGCATAAAAGTTATTTGGTCTGATTACTACTAAATGGCTCTTCATATTCGATGGGTTGGTTAATTACGATGAAACTTATAACGGTTTGTCACTGCCTAGGAAATTGGTTCAAAATAAATGAAAAGAAGCACATAAACAATCCTCGCTCCATAGAGTAGAGACATGAAACTTATTGGTCTAATCATTCAGCTTTCCAATCCCCCGTCTGTCTACTTCAATCTGACCAAATAGATGTCGGAAACATTCCGTGTGGCTAATAAATCGACAGCTGAATGATTTGAGGTCAAACAACAACAGCAACAACAAAACCATCCATCATCACAATGAAAATTATATCTACTGAATAGCATACAAGTTCGCTTGCAGACTTTACATTTTTCTTTTTGTGTGTTACGAAGTCTCTAAAGCGATTTTCCAGAGTAGGATAGTTAGTCCCAACATCTATCTTTCCCTCTTCTCCTAGACTCATTCTATCACACCTAGCAAAATTCGCTTACATCCGCAGCATCATTTCAACGACAGGCAACAAGAATGAGGATGTTAAAACCATAAAAAAAAAATAGCAGCGAAATACAAGACAGGCGTTTATTACTCTAAGATCTGTGTAGTAGGTCTACAGCACTCTGAACAACGAACAGGACCCGAATTTCAACTTAATAATTCATTTCAATTCGCAGCATCGTGGAAAGCCTTTCCAATAGGCTACTGAAGTCTTATACCAACACCTCGGCGGCAGGCAACGAACCCACCAAGATCTCAATGCTCAACGAATAAGCAGAAGGAAATGAAAACAGACCGGATATATACCAAGAAGACATTCAAGTGACATCACACGGCAAGACCTCGAGTAAAACCAATAGGGGAAGTGACGATTCGAACCTCCGAAGAAATCGTGTGAAGGAAAATAAGTGGAAGTTTATGGATAATCGTGGAGCGGGATAAAAAAGACAACAGAGATGTGCTTCTGAAGCCCAATGTACCACTTGGAACCCAAAGGATGAAACATAATTATAATCGTACTCCCCACTTTTCCAGGCTGACATATAAATAGACGTAGGACTCATACTCGCGATTCACTAACTGTTAGTCAACAGTGTTTCAGACAATGAGCCACATATCTCTCCTTCTCTCTCTCTCTCTAGCTTTTCTCACATCTGCATGTATGCATGCATCATGTAATATGAGACACGCAGGAAAATAAAATATACAACCAAAAAAATGAATGAACTTACTTTTAAGGCTAAAAGACTCTTGTTAATTTCAGCACCTTCCATTCGTGTATGTCTGTCTGAACTACTTGTATCCACACCGCGTTCATTACCGGCTAAATCAATAAGTGAAAATTTACCATGGATTTTTCCAGTGGATTGTTTCTTTAAAATAAGCTGTTATACACAACAGGGGGAGGGAAATAAGAAAAAGTTGAAAATATGAAAGTCAGATTTTAAAAAAACTTGAATTTACTTAAACAAAATCAATTTTTTCTTAAAGCTTCATTAAAAAGCAGTTATGGGTTTCCAGGGTTTTGATTGGTGGTTACAGGATTTCATTATGACCTGACATCAGTTAGAAAACCACTGAAAAAACTGGGAGTATTGTCTCGTCCTAGTCTGAGACTCTTCATCAGTACTCACCCTCGAACAGTGAGCTACAGAAGGTCGGATGTGAGGATAAGTACTCTCCACCGGCGACATTCGCTAGTGCCAGTGAATTGACAGAAATAGGGATGCACGGGTCATTCAATCGGGTCCCAGTGACTTAATGGTCTACGAGCTAGCTCGCATTGTAACCAGAAGGTCCTGGGTTTGAACCCTGGCAGTGCAGGTGAGTGCGTACTGTGAAGAGTTCGTCCTAAACTAGGACGAAACAGCTGGTGGTTTTCCAATGGTTCTCTAAACGATGTCAGCTGATGATGAAAATATCACTACTTGAAAAAAAAGCTAGAGGGATAAGAGAGTAGCTGGCCTAATAATAGTCCGAAAATTCACAATAGACATGGAAGAAAGTAGGAAGATGAAAATGAGTGGCGAACAGACGAATTTTGAGTGTTTATTAAAGAGAGCATGTGGGTGATTGCTATTTCTCGTGAAGTGGAAATGGATTTCTCATTGAAATAGCTGAAAGTGAAAACTCATTGGAGTGCTCCAGGGACAAGTCCTTGAATCCTTATCTGGAAATGGAGCTTCTATAATTTGACAGGTGCTTCCACTGCCGACCAGATACCGTCGTAGTGTACAAGTCACGATGCACAAATTTTGGGGCTAAACATCCTAAGCCCTCCTTTTCCTCAGAGCTGGAAGACAGCATAAGTAACATTCTAGTTGCTTAAGGAAAAACACAGACATTACCTCTGTTGTAACACTCCTATCCGACAGCAGTACGATTATGCCATCAGACCCCGACTCTCCACAATATAACTCAATCACATTATGATGAAAACTCATCTGAGTGTAACCATCTATCATCATCATCATCATCACAATTCCATCTTTCTGCAGAAATATTGATTCGAAAGCTGAGCAGTCGGCAGATAAGATGAATATTTGTGGCCACACCCTCTCATCAACAACATGTTTCACAACTCTGAAGGGCGACCAAAACAATGCAAAATAATAAACACCAACCAAAAGTAATATACTCACAGTGTGGAAATCGATATATCGATTACATGAAGATACTAAAAAAAACATATCACTTAGAGATAGACAATGGACTTTTCTACATAGAATATCAGCCATCAACAAATAATGACAATGACAGATTACATCGTCGAACAACACATGTGCCTCTGTGTGTGTGAGTATGTAATGTCTTTAAGGATATACACGAATGAATAAGCACATTAACAATACATCGCTACTAATGTCACATGGTGTATGTCATATGACAACATACAATGGAAAGACTACGCATTCTTAGTCTTCTCAGAAGATTTACACTCTACAGTGATTGGATGAGTGAGTGAGTGAGGGAGGGGGAAAGGAGTGGTAACTGCAAAATATTGTCATCTGATCAACCGTGTGTGTCATACAACCTTAGCACAATTTGTCATTGATTTATAATTACGTGTATATTTCGACTATATATATATATATATATACGTATATGTTAAAAATAGATTTTATTTTACATTATTTCATTTATAATCAACTGTGAGCAAATCTGGTTCAATAATACGAACAAAATGCATACACCCTTATCGATTTTTCATGTACGCAAGTACAATAACCAACACTAAATTGCATGAGAGTGAAAAATAGTTACCACTGCTACTATAACTACTATTTCAATTCATAACAAATGACTGTACAGACTGTACAAAAAGCAATTACCCTCTCTTACGTAAACACCCATCCATCCATCCATCCACCCCCACCGACACACACACGTGTGGGTGTGTGTTAGGTCACTACATCATCAGAGATAATATTTTGTATTTATCAACTACAAAAGCGTAAACTAATCAATTAGATTAAAAAAAACACGGCACTTGTGTGTAATCGCAAAGTGGAACATAGATCTGACAGACAGAGTAATGACTTCGTGAACTAAAACACTAGTTCATTCATTCATTTCATTCACAACTCTCCCCTTGTATCTCATCAGGCAGGCAAAACCATAAGCCTGTATAGAAAACTATATGCCAACACTGGCAAGTACAAAAACCAACTCAACCATGCCCCAACTTAAGCTCGTGTTCTATGCGATAAAGGAAGCATTAGGTGTGAAACTTATATAATTTATTGCATAGTCAGTAGAACAACTGGATCTCGTCTTTCCAACTCATATCATTTATAAGTACAACGTTTTCTTTCTTTCTTTTCCTTTTCTCTTTTTTCTGTTATGTGCTGTTTTGTTTCTCTCTTCCTCACAAACTCTACTTAAAACATTCTTCTTCGTTCTTTCACACTCTGTATACCACCTCGACCCTCTTGTTACCGCTTACACGACAGTAAATATGCTACCATCTACTTTTCTAACAACTTCAAACATTATGATCACTTTTGGCTTTGCTACCGACATGCCAATATGTTGTTGTCTAAACTAACTGAGATTACCCTTAATCTATGTAGAATTTTATTTATTGTTAATGTACAAACTGGATGCAATACTGTAGTGAAATGCTGAGAATTCCATTCTGTATCACAAGTACTGTTTTGCAATAAAGCAAATTATTGTTATTATTATTATTATTAGTGAAAGGTGGATCCCTATTGACAAGTACAAATAGTCATGAACTGCATTAATGGTTCAGTGGTAGACTACCCTCTAATCACAGTGGGAATGGGAAGGGGGCCGGTGTCGGAGTTCTATTCCGACCGACACTGTTGAGATGTTTATCTACTCTATCAGCCGGTAGTATGCTCAGAAAACATGAGGGTGGGTGGGCGGTCTACCGTTAGCAACTATTGCAACTGAAAATCTAGTGTTTGAAGCGCTATGTATCGTAGGGGAACACGAATAAATAAAACATAACTCCCCGATTTCAGTTTGACAAGGAGATGAATGGTAATTACTCTGGATAGTCGGTAAGTGTACCACAACACGCACACACGTGTGACAGTCGTTCATCAGATGGCCGGTTGAAAGATATCAGGATGTTGAAGGATCAACGAATATTGTGCTTATGATCTGCAGAGTCAGCAGTCTTATACAGGTTGGATATCACGGATTGGTATTACAGTTAGAGAACCATTGAAAACCAGCACTGGAGTACTGGACAGTTGTTTCATGGGCCATTCCGGTCAAGTCCCATCCCAGTGGGCTAGCTTGCCTTGTAATCGAAAGCTCCTGGTTTCGAAACCCGTTGTTGCTGGGTGAGTACTACCGATGAGTCCCACACTAGGACGAAACAGCTGTCAATGACTTAGAAATGTTTAACAATACAAACATTGAAATGAAAGGCACATTCATATAAGCAAGATACATCCAGTGCCATAGGTATCATAAACCCCCCCCCCCTCACTGAATACGAATTATGATGATGCCAATGAGAAAGCTGCCAAAAATGTGCACGTATGCATGGAAATGTGTGGAACACCATGAACGACATACACATACAAATGAATATATTTCAATGCACATTTCGTCACGAACCAACATCCGTCAGACAAAACATTAAACACCACGAAGGACTAGAAAGCCGTTTCGTCCTAGTTTACGACTCTTCATATTTGCGAACATACGACCTCATCGAGAGTGGGACCTAGGACCTTCAATTTGCGAGAGTGACTCGTGAATTCTAACTGCTGTCGATTGTTGATACAGCGGTACCACCAAAAACCAGTATAACTGCGACCCATTAGTTGGGTGATTAACCAATCGGTCACGTAACCTGAAAGCGTGCGGACTAGAATTCGATCGATCCCTAATTGGGTTCATGAGAATGTACTGCTGAAGAGCTGCTTCTCAATATGACGAAATCTGCATTGAAAGTGCAATCAAACTCAACCCACCCACCCCACCGAATCTAAACATATGGACATACTTGAAAAACGGCATGTGAACGACTGGAATGTTGATTAGCTGATGTCTGCCCGCTGGTACGTATATGTGCACCATGCTGTAATAGTTTTAAAACACAATCAACCGAGTTCACTTCTTCTTCACGTAAACCAACTATTTGTACTTGACCTTTAGCATCTTCGAGGACACGAAGCTTGGCCTTCTTATTCAACAGATCGAAAACCTATTCACATCATCAAAATGAATCAAATAAAAGAAAACAGAAATGATAATATTAACAATAAATACCATCGATTTTTAAAGGTTATAAAACATACAAAGAGGAAACACAAATGATTAAAAAAAATACTCCAAACAACGACTTGCAATTGGCAATGAATGAGCCACGAAATTCTTTTGTCTGAAGGCTAGTTAGTAAGTCAGTCATTCAAACTGACTGACTTTTTAAAAAACTTCAGTAGGTGAACTGAGATTCGAACTTATGACGCATTGGTTTTTGAAAATCGAATGACGATTAGACTAATAGTAATTAAGCCATAAGGGGACTCTCCACAGAACTAGTGACACTACTAGACTGTTCAAACCTTATAGCAGAGTTCCAACCCATCATCCAGTTGGTTAGAAGTCGACGTGAATGAGCTCCACCATACATACATACATATATCACAATTCAGAATATTACTTGATTGAACGAATGAAATACGCACACAATAAATAAATAAAGTAATTCCACCTGATTATTAATTTACTTCGCACAGAGGATAATGAAAGTGATATTGACCTTAAAAACATTTCACCCTATCGTTATCATCAGGTTACAGTGGCCTACACTATACAACAATGCACTGAATTCACCTGTTTCACCAAATAAAATTTCTATCAATAAGTGTGTGTCTTTGTGTGTGTGTACAGTAATTCATGATTTACTAGAGTGTAAAAGATTATAGATCAATAAGAACCACAATAAAATCGTAGGCTAAACACAGAGATTTATAAGTATCGACAAGGGTTACGTAATATGGAATACATCCAGAAAAGCGGGATGTTAGTCAAAGACCATAGTGACAAGTGTCTAAAATAAATTATGTAACAGGTAAACAGAGTTGATGATATTATGTAGTTAGAGGTAATCGGCCACAGGAAGCCTCGGACCTAGGTTTCGTGTTGGTTGGCACTCTTCATCAAGGCGTATCTGCAACCCCCTTGAAGGAATTCATGTCCCTTTTGAGACTCGAACCCGAGTCACCCAGTGCTGCCTGCAGTCAGAGACCGTTACCACTAAGCTATTCGGGCTCACAATTGACCTCCTGTAGGACTGTAGTGAGTATTTTGTTTGGAAACTAGTAACTCGTGTCCAATCAAAATACAAATGTGTTAACTACTACTTGTTCATTTGACCCATATCATTTGACACAGATTCAAATACGCAAACTATTCCCTCCACTCGGTTCCCTTGACTGACTGACTGACTGGTTACAACATAGAACTACTTCGCACAGATGTGCACCAGTTCGAGTTGCCACACTCCTCCCATGCAGTACACAAAGCAAGACAATAGAGTAAAAAAGAGATTCAAACAGAAATATGAGGTAAAAAGGATAGTTATATGGAAGAACATTAGAGTTCTACTGGATATGACTGACAAATCACAAAGAGTCAATGCATCTGCGCTGTCACTGACAACGATTTTCAGCCACATCAACAATTGCTTCCAACCACCACCATCGGTTCTTACTACTCTGAGGACTCAGACCAAGAAGTCTACACCTCTGGACGTGGCTTGAACTAACTATTGTGAATTCCATTAACTGATGAGGTTGTGTTTTGCTTTGACCACTACTAGTTAACTCATTTCCAATCTGATCCACCTTATGTCAGTCAGCTAACACTGACTGCTGTCATTGAAGGCGACCGATGACTAGGCATGAGTAACGCACATATCCTAACCCCGTCACAATTGGTCTTCCCTCCTCCTTGCCTTGTAACACTCGACCGAAGTCTAACCTCCTCAATATTGCTCACCTTATTATACCACAACAACCTGACACGGGAGAAACAACACAGTCAAACATCTATGATCTTCCACTTTCTCTCTCACAACCAGCCATAAAGGAGGACAAAGCGAACTGCTGAGCAGTAGTACACATGTCCTTTGGTCACAAACTAGCCAGTCGGATATCATGCCAACTAAGCCAGAGATGTGCATCAGTGGCATAGCGGTGGAGTGCTCGCCGACCACGCCACAGGTGGTCCGGGGATCGATCCCCAGCCACCGGACGCACTCTTTTACCTCACTAAGCCAGTAGTAAGATTGGTAAAGGGGGAAGGTTGGGTAGGAATGAGGGCTAGTCAGCGATCTCATGGAGTAAAAATAATCACCCCTGCGCTACAGAAACTTCAAGTCTCTAGCTTGAAGCTGCCCTATGTTCCACCACTGGGAATGTAAAGGAATAAAGAATATACAAAACAGAGATGGCACGATTAGTGTTTGAAAATAAAATAAAGCAAGAACGAGGCTGTTTACAGGAAATAACAATCATAATAAAATGACTATTCCTTCGGTTACCACTACCACTACTACTAAGACTGCTAACAGCCTTAAGTTACTATAGTATAAATATAAACAATGTATCACACACACACACACACACACACACAGGAACACACTTGAGAACCATTTTAAGTAGGAGTTAAACAATTTTTATCAAAAGTAAGTATATTTAACAGGAGACATCAGTATACGCCAATTAAAATTACTAACATTGTCATCAACAGATAGATATGTATATGTATAGGTTGAATATATGTGGTGGTGTGTATATGTGATGACGTCAATCTACTGAATTGCCTGATGACGTAATAACTTTACTTATTTTGTTTGTTTTCTTTGTCTTGGTGGTAATTAACAAAACAAGTCCACTCAATACTGACGTAGTCTAACTACTAACATATCTGACATATTTGGTTGGAGGATTCTATCATGAGCCGACATCAGCTGGAGAATCATTGGGAAACCTGCAGGCAGTACTGGACAGCTGGTTCGTCCTAGTTTGGGACTCCTCAACATCACGCAAACAAGGGGAAACACCTGTCCAGTACTCCCTGCAAGTATTCCAATGGTTCCACTTTGGATAAGATTTTATTTTGATAAATCACACAGTATTGTACAGTAATATTTAGTAGTGACCACGTTTCGAGTACAAATCATTACCAATCAATAATCATATCAAGTCGCTCACACAACTTTTTACTTCATTTCTATACATGTGTGGAATTGACTAGATAATTGAATAAAAACCAATATAGGATAATGTACATTCAGAAATAATAATTTGAGTGTTATCAATCAAATACAATCAGATGGGAAATAAGACGAGTGTTTTTATAGTCAAAATAAGTAACTTGTTAGGAGGTTGTGATGTGTTTGAATTGAAATAGAATTTTAAAATTATTTATTCTCCTCCTTTGATTTGACTGGTAACAATATCTTCCGTATCTCTGATATTTTCTTTGAGTCACTTCTGTTGCATGTGTTGGGTGTAGACTCGATGAACCAGGCAGGATGCGGTAATCACTCTCTCTCTCTCTCTTTCTCGCCCTCCACCTACCTAGATTACTTCTTAGAATTTTAACCCTCTCCCATCCTATGGTGTGGTTGTGTGTTAATACATGCAGTACCATTGCTGAACTTGTTTTTCTAAATTACTTATCTTCTCGGGGTCAACCATTCTTACCTCAACCAATAAATTCGTATGTTCCGACAATGTGACTACCCTCAACCTTCTAGTTTGACCTATGTAGTTGACCTCACTCACAGTCATTGCAGTGTATTTTGTAAATTATATTAATTTGTTTAATTGGGTAGACCTGCTCTTTTAGTCTACAGAGCTTGTCCCTGAGTGAGTTTGTAGATTTGAATGCCACCCTAATTCCTGCTTTATTAGGAATCCCACGTAGGGTCTCCGATGTCCCCTCCTTATATGGTATAACAGTAGGTGACTTATATTCTCTCTTATTTATGTTATCATTACAGTTTCACAATTATTTTTATTTTGTTTTTGGCCTTTACTGATCTTTCTAATGAATTTTATAGGATAGTTATTTGATACCAACGCTTCTTCTATCTGCTTTACTTCATCATTTAGGTCGTTTTTTGTGCTACTTAGTGCTACTGCTCGGTTTGTTAGACACTTGTTGATTTTTATTCAAATGTCTAATCATCAATTCCATACATGTATATAAATGAAAGGAAAAATTTGTGTGAGTAGTGCCTTGATATGATTATGCGTGGCAATGGTTTGTGCTCGAAACGTGGTCATCAGTTAATATTACTGTACAACACTATGTGATTTATCAAAATAAAATCTTATCCAAAGTGGAGTTATACTCCACCACAGTTCCCAAGTTTTTCTACTGGTTCTCTAACTGATGTCAGCTCATGATGATGCAATCCCCTCCAAAAAATTCCTACAAACCAATCCGTGAAAATATCTGACCTATCTCGAAGGAGATCAGGTAATAAGGCTGAATAACTGAGTGGTAACTTCTCTGACTGTAGAGTACTACTGGATGACACGGATTTGAATCTCGACGGCGACACACATTAAGTCCATCATTCAAGATACGCCTTATATTGCTGACGAATACTAACAATCACACGAAAGCTTCCTGTTGAGTGCCTCCAATCATTTAACATCAATTATGAAGAATATATTAATTATATAACACTTGAACTAATAGTATATAAACGGATAAAATATATTGGAATACATTTATTGACTAATGGTCCTGTGACGTGTGCTACTGATAAGATTTATGAGTAGTACATGTATACAGAGATGTTCATCGGTATAAGAAAAAACACCAAATAGCAGAGAGATAGAGAAAGCAAATAATACATACAGCGTTGTGGGGAGATACATGCGAGACAACGTGAAAGGAGGACAAAGAAAACCACACAATATGAGGAATATCTGTGTGCAAATGGTGCGTTGAAGGTAAGCTGTACATCATTTCGCTATATAGTGATAACAAATTGCAAATAAACACTCCTTTATCAAATCTTTTGCCTTATCCTGTTTAGACTAGACGAAACGTTGCCAAATATTCTGAAGGTGCCATATATAGTTAGACTATGATACCTATGTTTTATATGAATGTTTCATCACAAGGGTGTGTTGTGACTGGCTGTAAATATATATTCCTGAATCCATGCAGATTGATAGATGTACTCCTTCTAACAGAAACATACTGAATCAAACTGAGAATGCATTTCTCTCTGAATCACCACAACCACCACCACCTAGTATGGAACACAAGGAAATGTTACATCAGCTATATATCATCACACGATGTACTTTCCTTCGCCTTAGAGAGACAGTAAAACAGTGATATACGCATAAGTAAATCATTTATCTACATGATTTGATATATGAACTAATGGTTTATAGCTGTTATTATTTTGGAGATGCAGTTCATCATTCGCTTGAGAACTCGGTTTTCAACCAATCGATAAATTTTTCTGAGCTTCATTCCATCTTAATAAGAATGGGCAGTTGGGTAGCATCATCGTCATCATCATCATCAACCCTCATACTCGATAGGTGTAGCTCTTAAGCTGGTTGCTATGTGAAGGATCTGTTCCGTGTAACTGAGGTAAAACAAACCAATTTATCGTGAAAATTGTTCATTAGAACCCGATTGTCTAAGCTCCTGCCCCCAGTTTTGCTCGGTGAAATAGAAGGAATGGCACTAGCACCTTGGATCCAGTGGTTAATACGAGAGTGTTTGCAAGTCAATGAGCCACATTTCCACTCATGAAGATTCATCATTTGGTGATTGTGATGTCACGATGGGGGAAGAAATCCAGGGCATTCTCGGTTTCCTACCAGTTCACCAACTGATTTCAATACATGACGAAAACCTACCTAGACAGTCAACCTAATCCCTACAACTCAACACAAAAAGTAGTACAATAATTAACAGGGAGTGGAACTCTTCAACAATGACTTTTACAGAGAAAATTTTCTGTGTACGCTTAACCACAGTTACGTGCATCATTGGTTTAGTGTTGAGGATGTTCATCAACCATGACATGGGCGTAGTCCAGGGTTCGATTTCCAGTCGATGTACTCCAAAAAAAAACAATCCTAACCGATAGGTAGTAAGTCCGAAAAGCAGTGGAAGGCTGGGCTCTAGCTTGAAGGCCGCCATCTTGTGTTCCACTTGGAACGCAAAAAGGAATAAAGAAGCAAATCACACCACAGTACAAATATATACTTAGAGGAAACTCAATATTAAAATGAGTAAAAACGCATATACAGAGAGAGACAGGCAGACAGACAGACTGAGACACCTACCTTCCCACTGTAAATTTCGAAAAACGCGGCATCAATTCGAAGGTTTTCATGTTTATACACAGTGGCATTTAAATTGAAAACATCAGCAGCTGTAAAAAACAAATTTTTTTTTAGAAAAAAAGATGAAATATAATTTAACAATCACTTTTCAAGTATATGTAGTTTTGTCAATGTGCCACAACACAAGAACTGAAAAAGGGTATCACGATACTGCACCTGCCTCCCCACATATCTTGGATAGCGTGGTCGACATTTGGATTCATAACTAAAAATGGTTGGAAGCTGAGTATTAGATTTTTTTTCTTTGATTGACTGAATGATTGGTTTCAACATAGAACTTTGCACACATGTGCAGCAGTCCCAAATGCCACTCACCCTCTATTTATCACACAAAGCAAGACAAGGGAGTAAACAGAGATTCACCAGCCATTGCCAACGATTTCCAGCCATATCATCAATTGTCTCCAGCCACCGTCATTGGTTGCTTCTCACCATCCCAAAGACACCAACAACACTGGCAATCTACACCTCTCCCCCTAAGTTGCTGGCTTAAACTAATTGTTATGCATTTGATTGACTAATGAAACCATGTTATGGTCTCGCCACTACTGGAGCTCTTTTCCAACCTGATCCTGTATCCGCTAAGATTGCCAGTTGTTGAGGAAGGCGATGGCTAGGCTAAGCATGCACAGTGACAACACATGTCGTAATCATCTCTCTCAATCCATATAACTTCAATATACATCCCCGCGTCGATCGATTTTCCCTCCAACTCATCACACCAAGTACTCCACTGAGTCCTAACCCCTCAATACTACTTACCCTATTATGCCACTTAGCATGGGAGACTGAATGCAGAAACCAATGATCGAAGACATCCAGCCAACTAGCCAGATTTTTCTTATCTTCAACTCTCAATGGGGGCCATTTCTCACTCACAGTCATAAAGGAGAAGGGAGCGATGTGATTGTTGAGCAGTACACACATCCCCTGGTTGACAACCAGCCAACCAGCCAGCCGGATATCGTTCCTACTAAATCAGAGATGGAGTCTTCTGTATACCCGCTGGCGCTGGTTGATGTAACTCCCCAAATATTAAGGTGAAATGGTCAACACGCTGACAAATTTATAGCAAACAACAATCCTTAAATTCAATGGTTAGATATATGTATATGAACTTAGAGAAAAGGAACACCAATATGGTCATCGCCAGTACTCCTCCGCATACATCACGTGAACATAAAACTGATTTCTAATCAGGAATAAATATCTAGAAAGCATGCGCAACCTGATCAAAAGATGCTCTTGGTAACATCAAGCTAACACAACAAGAGAAGAGGATATATCTTAGTCAATTCACATATATATAAACACACCGGGAAGTAAGGGAAAGAAATTACAAGCCTCCTGTGAAAAGCGACCCACATACATCAAACAACAATCCAAGAGCACATAGACTCAAGATATATTGTATTTATTTATATCTTCAGAAGAATGGAGGAGAAGTATTTGAAGACCACCTTCCATACAGACGGGTACAGAAGAAAAGTCATCAAAAGATGTCCAGTTTGAAGTAACAGGTTATTTACGCCGAACAGATTTTCTATGCATCGTCATGCTGTAAGTGACATTTCATGTAAGCACACTAATGGCTGGTACTATCCAACAGTTCAGACTGAAATAGGTAGTGGAGTGGGGTTCGTATCGGGGACCGAGGCGTTGAAAATGTCGAGAGTGCTTGAACCAAGCCAAGTCAAGTCACATCTATACCCTTAATCCAGCCGATTAGCACAAAATCATTCTGCGAAACATACGATCAATAATTCTGAAATCATTGGCTAGACAGCTAAAATCTTTTGGAATAGATGTTACACCAGGCAGTCGAATACACGGTCAATTCACTCTAAAACTATGCAGATTACAAAAAGAACACTCAGCAGGAGAAATGAAGACATAGATAGACTGGATCAACTGAGAACAAACACTTTATAGACGACCAATTACATATATAATCTTCTCATCTATGAACACTAATGAAACGATCGATACACGTGAACAACAACGGACATCGGTTTGCCTTACGAAAATGCAAAATTAGCAAACAAGAATGACAGAAAATTTTTAAAAGCCTGAATGCTTGGATCAGTTTTCACTTAGCAGACTCATTCACTTATCAATCAATAAAGAAATCACATGACCTAAAGTTTAAATATCATCGGGTCAGTGACACCATCAACATCAATAGAGGTGGACACAATTATAAACTCAATTCCCTAGGGGGTCAGGTCAACCAATGACAGTGACGAATTAGTGAACAGCTGGATGATAAAATGCCTTAAAAGACCTCCCGGGCGACAACTGCTACCACCTTGTTGTAGTGGTCGGGCTTGAATACCGTAATGACACAACATGCTAAACTGACTAAGACTCTGTCCCTGCAAGTCCCGCCATATCAGGAAGGTTGTTTGGGTAGCGGTTAAACTAAAAGCAGTTACCATGGGGTACATGGGTTCCAGTATCCAATCTGATCCAATGGCGTATGAACTCATATGGGTCACCGGAAACCATGTTTACTCATGACCACGTTTCAAGCACAATTTATTGCTCATAATCATTTCGAGAGACTACTCACACAAATTTCTAAATTATTTTATGTAATTCCATTATTTTTCGTCGCTTGATTTGATTATTAGTAGTGTTTTCTGTAACTCTGGTATCTATGATGACTCATCTCTATTGCATGTGTTGGATGTTGACTCGATGAACCAGACAGAATTCAGTAATCAACCTCTCTCTCTCTCCACCTACCTAGATTACTTTTTAGAATTCTAACCTTCTCCAGACCACCCTATTGTGTGATTGTGTGTTAATGCAATGCAGTGCAATCACTGATGACCTTTTTTCTAAATTACTCATCTATCTTCGCGGGGTCAACCATTCTTACCTTAGCTAAATTCTTATGTTCTGATAATCTGACTACCTCTGACCTACTAGTTTGACCTATGTAGTTGACCTCACTCACAGTCACTGCAAGGTATTTTGTAAATTATATTATTTTGTCTAATTGGGTCAACAGGGTCTTTAGAGTGGAATTCAGACCTACAAACTCACTCATGTAGCACAAGCTATGTAGGTTAAAGGACCTCATAGGTTGACCCAATTAGACAAAATAATATAATTTACAAAATACACTGCAATGACTGTGAGTGAGGTCAACTACAAGGGTCAAACTAGTAGGTCATGGGTGGTCAGATTGTCGGAACATGAGAATTTTGCTAAGGCAAGAATGGTTGACCCCGAGAAGATAAGTCGATTAGAAAAAAGCTCAGCACTACACTGTACTTCATGCATTGACACACAACCACACAATAGAGTGGATTAGAGAGGGTTAAGATTCTAAGAAATAATCTAGGCAGGTGGAGAGAGAGAGAGAGGTTGATTACAAAATCTTTGTTTATCAAGTCTACATTCAACTCATGCAATAGGAATGACTCATCACTCATACCACCGGGAATATGGAGAATGCTACTACCAGTCAAATCAAGCGATGAAAAATAATGAAATTATTTAAAAGAAATTAGAAATTTGTGGGAGTACCTTGATATGATTACGAGTGACAATAATTTTTGCTCGAAACGTGGTAATTAGTAAATCACATAATCACCAGTACAACACTATGAGACTTTATCAAAACAAACTTTACACATAATGGAATACTGGAAGATACCCTAATTAAACCATCTAGCTAAGGGGCGCAGCCGTAAAAAGAAGTTTTGGAAATGATAAACAGACTTTGCATTAGTTGACCTCGTGATGAACTCAGTTCTCAATACTTTTTTTTTCAAGTATTCTGCGTTATTATTCCACACTGGAATTTGCTGAACTAACCATCCTGAAGTGGATCTTATCAACATATAAATGAATTTTGATTGGCTAATATGATCAGTTATTACTTCATTATGGATAAGATTTTATTTTGATAAATTGTCACACAGTCTAGTGTTATACAGTAATATTAACTGATGACCACGTTTTTCGCTCACATATTATTGCGGCTCATAATCATCTCAAGTCATTTACACAACTTTTTACTTCATGTACATACATGAATGAATGTTATAATGTACGTGAATTGAGACAGAATTTTAAGATTATTTATTATCCTCCTCTGATTTGACTGACTGATGGTAATAATTTCTTCCATATCTCTCGTATTTGCATTGAGTCACTTCTATTGCATGTGTTGAGTATGTAGACTCGATGAAGGGGTACCTAGCCTGTCATATGCTCTGATGGTGTTCTCTTGACTTATGTTGCCAGGTCTGCCAAGGACGATGGGATAGTAAGCGACCTAATGGTTGTGGGCGAGGTTTGAAGAAGGCTGTGTACTATATGCATGCGCCTCGCCCTGATAATGTTTCCCGGCCGATAACTGCTACCACCTTGTCGTGGTGGTCGGGCTTGAATACCGTAATGACCCAACAAGCTGGACTGGCTGGAGCTCATGTCCCTGCAGGTCCTACCATGTCAGGAAGGTTGTTTGGATAGCGGTTAAACTAAAAACAATTACCATGGGGTACATGGGCTCCAGTATCCAATCGGATCCAATGGCGTATGAACCCATATGGGTCACCGGAAACCATTGGAATGCAGCTCCTGACGCTGCCCCGCTGCCTTGCGGATTAGACTCCGAAGATGATAAAAAAAACAAAAAAACTGGGAACAACGATGAGAAGTGTGTCAGTTCAAGTCGTTTCACTTCAGAAAGCAGGAATAAATATACCTAACTACATAAGACAACACATCTCAGACATCTCAGTCGATGGGGCTTAAAAACCGCATCAGTTGACCCTTCATTCTCAACTAATAACACTGTATCCAATCGCATTATTACTCATATTTACTCCACAAGGCAAAATACACCTTCATCAACCAGAAGCCAGTTTGTAAATCTTCTGCTTCACTCAGTCAGCATAAAAAACAAAATTCAAATTTTCAAGACAAATGTGAAGTCAGTCAGTCAGTTCTTCTGTGTGAATGAGAAACTTGCACTGTGCGTCACGAAAAGAATTTCCAACAGGTCATTCCAGACTTTTATCAACAGCTGGCCCCTTCGCTGACCCCACACTAAAGATCAAATGGTTGGCCGACCAGAAAGAATTAGCAACTAGAAACTATGGCAACAAACCAACAAAGAGGCGATCGTTTAACAAATAAATACGTAAGAGAAAATGGAGACGGATTCGGCACACGCCACTGATGAGACTGTTGAATAACATCACGAGCAATGCAGGCCATAGCTCGAGCGTAACCCCAATGGGGAGCGAAGAGCGGATCTTCGGCGCGAGGGTGACATGAAGGAAATAGTGTGGTTAGGAGGGGATGAACGACTAGGGGCAATCATGGGCCCAGCTGAAGAGGATAGTAGAGAATAGAACTAAGTGGAGATGTGTTGTTGAAGCCCTTGGTTCCGCTTGGAACCCAAAGGAATAATAATAATAACAGTAACATATTTGCTCCACCCAACACAGAGGGATTTGAACAAGGGAACTATGGTCGGCTCAGAACAAGCATGATTTGCAGCTGTGAACTAGGAATAATCGAATTGCTGCACAGCAAAATCACACGTCTTTTGATGGACAAATGGATGGATACACCATGCCAGAACCGAAAATAACGCAAGTTGTCGTCAAGTATCATACAAGTGTTTTATATCCACACTGACATTTTGTTAGAGCCTCCTTGAGTACAATAGTAATCGATAATTATACGACAGGTGACAGACAAATCGTATTATCTGTCCAAATACACGCATACAGCCAACGAAATTACCTCTGTCAATTTAATCATTCATTTGTGTAATGTATCTTGAGTGCTATGGCAACTTCAATATCTTTTTGTCTTTTAAAAAAATACAAATATGAAGGCGAAATACTGATTGGATCGCAAGATTACATTGAAACAGCTAAGAAAAAAATAGGCAACAAGGAATAATTAATTACCTGCTAATGCATAAATCCCATTTGAACAATTCTGTTGACCGCGGGCATGAAATTCCCCACCCATAGTGTGTGTCTTACCGGAACCAGTCTGACCATAAGCAAAACATGTTGCCATACCACGTTGGAATATACATTCTACTAAAGGTTTAGCAGTATATCGATAAACCTATTTTTATAAGGTGTAAAGAAAACAAAAAGATATGCAGTGATGGTGATCGTAATGGAATTGCGAGATGAAAGTACAGTGAGAAGGAATTTAAACAAAGCCTTCACACAACAATTTCGAGCTATAACCTTTTAGAGCCTGCAACCAGTTAGACTGCTGGCCTTACTACTACTAACCTTGATTACTTAATTAGAGGAATCTGGAAGATGACGACATCACTGCGATTGAGAAAGATTTTAAGCCACAATTGAACAACAGCCTGAAACTATTGGTTCTTACAGTTGAGGGAACCGCAAACAGGCAAACTGCACACATCTCTACACGGCCGACTCAAACCAACAGTCACAGACCGCATGGATTGATATCGTTTATTATCTAACTACCCCTAACTCTTAACCAACTCTATTCTATATCAGCTAACGTTGCATAACGAGAAAGGTGGCGGTTAAGCACGCACCACAAATATCGAGCAGACTATAAGTGATCGGTGGAAAAATGAGATTGATACTGTCCGCATGCTTAAAAAAAAACAACTACCAAACAAAAAAGGGAAAATAGATATCTGACTTGAGTGAAAATAAAACTCTCTTAAGAATGCATTAAACACACACATTGATTAGTCTAACAACTAACGAACTATCCACTATCATAATAAAGGTAGAGAAAAGTGTGGCCAAGCAGTCTGAGGTGCAAGACTCGAAAGTTAACTTCTAAGTGTTCTGGTTCACCATGAGAGTGCATGGGTTCGAATCACAACTCCGACAGACACTCCTCAAAAACTCACGTAACTGGTAGAAATCCCGGTAAAGAGAGAAGGTTCAGCATCAGCTTAGCAACCCCCTCGCTTGTAGGAAACCAACACCACTGTTATCAGAACTTCAAATCTCAATCTTGAAGCCCTGCGTTCTCCATTTGGAACCCAACTGAGAGGATGACTGACTGATTTCAACACAGAATTTTCCGCAGATGTCTCGCAGTCTCCCAGCTGCCACGCTCCATGTAGCTCACAAGGCAAGAGAAGACAGTAAGGGAGGTCGAAACGACAAATAACAAACACAAGTGTGTGGGGAAAATAATAGTAATATGGAAGAACAATAGGGTTTTATAGAATATGAGTGACAAGTCACCAAGAGTGAATTGATCTGCGCCATCACAGAGAATGATTTTGAGCCATATCACCCATCTGTCTCCAGCCTTCATTGTTTCTCACCATCTTGAGAACCTTAACAACACTGGCAGTCTACACCCACCTCAGTAAAGGGGTGGCCGGATTAAACTACCTGTTATGGATTTATTTCATTGACTGATGAAGCCAAGTTTTCCTTTGATCACCACTACCTAGCTCTTTTCCAATCTCATACATCCTCCCGACCGAAAGCTGCTACCTTGACGTGGTGGTCGGGCTTGAACACCGCAATGACCTAATCAAGCTATACTGGCTGAGACTTATGTCTCTTGAGGTTCTACCATGCCAGGCAGGTTGTTTGGATAGCGGTTAAACAAAAAGCAGCTACCCCATCCAATACCATGATTCAAACAAATTCACAAAATATCATGCCGGATCGGCCGTGGCCCGGATTAACAACGACCGCGCTTCCTGCTGCTGTGTCACAGGGCAGGAGTGATAAGTATGCTACTGAGACACACCAAAAAAAAAGAACAAACAAAAACAGGCCGCGTGTGACCGGCCTCAAGCAGTTGTCCCCTGGGCTCTGCGGTCACGCAACCAACTTCCACGGTGTGGGCAGCCGGGAAGTAACAAACGCCCTCACAATCCGAAATGCACACAAAACCTCTCATACAGCCTATGTCGGCTAACATTGACCCTTGTCGAGGAAGGCGATCGATGGGTAGACATCAGTAACACATGTCCTAATCACCTTCCTCAATCAACGTGAATTCACAACACATCCTAGTCGATTAATTGCCCCACCAACTCACCTAGCACTCGACCGAAACTTAACACCCTCAATATTACTCACCCTAATACAATATTACGCAACAACCAAGATACACGGGAGATAGTATCCAAGCAGACACCTATGATCAGGGACGGCTAGCCAGCAAACCGGGCTTTTCATGTCTTCAACTTTCAATGGGTGGTAGGGCATGTATCACGCACAGCCTACCATAAAGTAGCACGGAGCGAACTGCTGCTGCTGCTAAGCAGGACACACAAATCCTTTTGATCGACAGTCACAACGCAAAGGAATAAAATAAATAATAAATAAAAAGTAGAGACAAAGGGGACAGTGAAACTGCAGTCAATGAAAATGTACTGTAACACATGACAACTACTAGATGAATAATAATAATAATGAAGGATTTAATGAATTGTGTTGTGAACACTATTCTGATGCATATCACAACAACATTCACCGGCTACTGGATTCATCGTATCTTTCGAGGGAGGGAGGGGGCGTGCTTAGCCAGTCAGCCTACCGCCACCAACCAGCAACACCTACGGGACTCAAACTATTTAATTTCTATATAACAAATAAATAAATATTTTTAAAATAAACAGGAATAAACAAGCAGTAATATAAAATAAAATTAAAACTTACAAGTTCATTATCTGAAGTATCATCAAATGCATAATCGAAACGGAATTGTTGATTTTCTAAATACTTAGTTAAGTCGACTTTAGTTTTTGGTTCATGTACAAGAACATGCTGTTTATTCGGGACAGTTATCACGTCAATTTCACGTCGACCAAGTTCTATTGTTTTTTTTTAATTGTTTGTTTTTTGTAAATTAGAGAGGAAAAATAGAAAGATAAAAAGAGATGTGATGATAGAGGAAATATCAAACAGTCCGTGAAACAGTATTATTATTATTACTATTTGCTGGATGACAGAGCTGAGAACACAATTTATTACTGTTCATAATCATATTGCCAAAATTATTATAACACGACTTCAAAACTTTCGTTGTACAGGTGCCAGCCGAGTCATTCCCAATACACGTTATCTCCTCAGTTGATCCGATAAACAAAGCTTCCGTTGTTATCAATCCTCTCACTACACCCTATTACAATAGATTTCCAAACAGTCATTTTATCCCATCCCGTCCTATTGTATGGTTGGTTGGTTGTGTGTAAATGAATGTAGTTAGTGCTATAGCTCAACCAACTATTCTCCATATTTCTTATCTTATTATGGTCAACTAATCTAAAATTCGTGACCAGTAGGGTGCAGCAAGCCGAGTGTCAGGACTAGAGGTCGCTCTATGTCGTGAACTGGCAGAAGATAGAATTCATGTGCTGGCAATTGGATCGCGTCCCAGTGGCTTAATGGTATACGAGCTCGCCTTGAAACCAGAAGGCCTTGGGTTCGAACCCCGCAGTGTGGGTGCGTACTGATGAAGAGTCCCAAACTAGGCTGACGAAACAGCTATCCAGTACTTCCAGTTGGTTTTCCAAAGGTTTTCTAACTAATGTCAGCTCATGATGAAATCCTGTAACCAATCAAATCTCCATAAACCAACACTTGAATAATCTAGATTTTGCTGGTAGGTTTTTATGCTCCACTAGCCTGACTGACTGACTGACTGACCCCGTTCCAATACTTTGACTGACAATCACTCCAGAAGAGTAGTAGATAAATACTATTCTTTTGTTTAATTAGCTGCACAGGATCCACCATTTAACCGACACAGCCTGTTTCTAATTGAGTTTGTGGGCAGTTTGAATACCAGTCACTTTTATTCTTGCCTGCATTGTTAAGAATTCTCCGTAAGATGGTTTCCGAGGTTCCTCCCTTTCATGGAAGTACTACTGATGATGATTTTAATTCCCTGTTGTTGGTGTTGTCATTATTCTGTGCATGTTTGACATGCATGTCGTCATTAATATAGTTCTTATCATCACTATCACTACTATTATTTACTTTATTTTTACACTTTCCAACATAGGTCCTGATTAATTTATGAAGAGAATTATTAAGTTTCAGTTTTTCTTATATGACCCACTTTCTGTCTTAGATTTTCCTTGATACTACTAAGTTTTTGTGCCCCATTTGTTACTTAAACATGTCACCAATCCTATTCTTATTGAATTATGGTCGGATGATCCGAAATCCAAATATCCGTTTGAATGTGTAGGTATCTGTACATACAAATGTTTAACTTCCCGTCTTCTTTCGTTTTCACGTTACAATCTAACAAGCTTCGGGTGGAAAATAGGGCTTCAAGCTAACGCTTTGAGGTTTTCGGTAGCAGCAGTCTTACTTTTACGGGCGTGCGGTTGTTAGTCTCATGCCCAACCTTTCCTCTTTCCCAGCCTTACTACCACCAACTTAGCGAGGTTTAAGAATGCGCCAGCTAGGGTTCGAACCCCGGACCTCATGCATGGTTGTCGAGAGTCCTATAACTGAACGACCGCCGTACTTTTGAACGCACCTACCGAGTTTCGAATTCAGGACCTTCATGTTGCTGGGCGAGCTCGTAGTCCATTCAGCTATTGGGACCAATAAAAGCCGCCAACACCCGGCATTCCCAGCCAGTCACCCATGCAAGTATACTAACCGGGCTCAGGGTTGATCGGATGAAAACCAGCATTTTCAACGTGACCTTTATCTCAAATTTCAAAAAGAAAGTATTCTAAATGCACATCAACAGACTGAAGAATTTAAGAATCTGTCATAAACTAACCTTTTTTATTCATAGGACGTTTCCGTACACAAACGCATATTTGATGATCTTCTATCGGGTCTGTATTTGTTAACGGTCGATAATCCAATGTATTTCTATATTCACTATATATGTGAAATAATAGAGGAAAAAGGTACAAATTACATAAATATGCTAATACACTTGAATATATGTATACATATATAAATCCCTACACAGTAACAGATGTCATGTTGCCCGAGTCGTACTAGTCAAGTTTTTAGAATGCTCACCATAACAATTGACTCACCATCGCCGCCATGAACAACTCGGTACGACTGAGGATGTGTAGGCTTCCGTCTTCCGCTTAAAATGCCCTTACAAGTTCATAGTGTAACGACAGAAGACAAGAGTCAGACAACAGGTAGTTTATTGAGAAAATCAACAATGTACATTATTATTAGCGTTATTGTTAGCAGAGAGGTAACACCTCCTGACTGGTTGTTTTCTCATCGGGAGTTATTCTGTCATCTCTTTGCGACTGCTTCTTTGAAGGTCAGACCACATACCTGCGAATCGTCTTTGCACACACCAAGTCTGCTGTGATTGGTTGTTGAGTTCCTCAAGATTAGGCTTTGTTATTGTTTCTTCTCATGACCTCGATTCAAGACGTAAACATTGACGTAAATTGGTGTCTACAAATTTGGCTAGCAGACAGCTCTCATTACAATACGTCTCTGACAAGTAAGTTATGTTCAGTGCTTTCACCCGACTGGGATATTCCTCACGAAAGTGACTGGGCGAATGAGAATATGTCTGGCGTTTACAATCGGAATAGTGGGCATATCCAGGTCTACACCTACCTAGAGGAGCTAGGAAACACGCTGATCCCATACCTATGGTGCACATGGGTTCCACACTTCGGACACACAGAATGACGTGTGAATCTGTTTCAGTCACCGGGAACGATCATGGAAACGTATCTGCTTCTGACGTTGTTCCACTATCTGTCTTGTGGATGAAAACTTCAAGTCAGTGGATCAGAAGATGACCTCTTAACATAACCACCTGCTTCAGTTTAAGCGTCCGAGTATGGTCCATCTATCAATGCCAATAATGTACCGACTTTATTTTAATAGATAAGAAAATGATAACTCATTATTGCAATATCCTTTCAGTTTCCATAGGGGTATCAGTTACACAGATATTGAAAATACACCTTTCTATCGAGCGCCTGGGACCACAAAACCTTGAATCCAGGGTGTTCTTCGAACTATTTCCACTCCACTACACTACACCTTACTTCTTTCGTCAGTTGTATTAACTGATGATAAGTTGAATATTGAAATAAAGAGCGGAGCCGGATTTGTAACTAACTGGTCAACTTGTATTACAACACATCTGAAGGATATAAACCATATCTCTCTCTCTCTCCCTCTCTACTCTATTAGTTATTTAGTTTGCACTCATTTACCAGGTACCAAGCCATCAGAGTCGTGATACTACTCAGTTATTAAAAGCTAGTGGTAAGGCGAGAATTGAATCCGAGAATCTATTGCCTACTAGTCAAGTACTGAAACCTTTACTCGACCTGCTAATAATATGTTTGTATAATTTAGTGGCATGTTTTATGAGTTATGCTCTTTTAAAGCTGTACGTATCTTTTTCCAGCAGCATTGTGTATGTGTGCTGCTATGAATTGTATAATGTTAGACTGAGAAAAAAGCCATTGGACAACACTAAGTTCATCGATTAAAACTGTTTCAGGTTGACAACATTATACACATACAACGCAAACATACACACACACATTCACTTATCGATCAAGTGAACAGGATAAACTACACTTAGCTGTTAACGCTTTACGCAATACAGGTGTAGATTTATCTAACGAACAAATACTATTTTTTCCAACGATTTCATTTGGAAACTGTACAGTTATATATTGATATTTTATAGTAGAGAAGGCGGGGTCATGAGAAAATCCCTAAGTCAATACACATGTGATAAATAACATTTGTTGATATTAGATGGTTGGAAGCAATCGGCCACAGGAAGCCTTGGACACGACCTAGGTTCCATGCTAGTCGGCACCAACTACCACCAGTCAGCAAGGTGGGAGTATCTGCAACCGCCTTAAAGGAATTCATGTTCCTTCTGAGATCCGAACGTCACCTAGTGCCACCTGCAGTCGGACACGTTACCACAGAGGAGCTATTCGGGCTCGCGATTGGCCTCCTGCAGGACTGTATTAAATACGTTGGACATGAATTACTCCAAGGCGATAGCAGATTTGCCTTGCTGACTGCTGACTCCACAATGCTATATATAATTCCTAGTGTCCACGCTGAAGTTTGAGTTCTAGCTAAGCCCACTACGTCTGATGTTTTACATCAAAGCGGTGACCATAAACTTTACTTTGGATTTCGAGGTTTAGATGGTAGATATGAGCGTGGGGATACTAAATGGTCTATAGATGACTTAATAATTTGTCGGTGAGACACGTAAGTACTCAGGCAGCTATCACTCAATGTAATATACTCAGTTTTATTCCTGTGTGACTCTAGCACTTCAAAGTTTTTTTCATAATTATCAGACTGAACGATATCCCATTTTTTCGGGTTAAATCACGGATTGATATCAGTTAGAGAAGCATTGAAAACCAGCCAGGGAGTATTGGACAGTACTTCATCCTAATTCGAGACCCATTGACAGTACGTATCCACTGCCGGGGTTCGAACCTAGGACCTTCCATTACAAGGCAAGCTAACTCGCATACTATTCAGCCACTGGGACTCGATTCAATGGCCAGTCTATGGATTCTAACTTCTACCAGTTGTCTAGTACTCCCTGGTATTCCATGGTTTTCTAACTGATATCAATCCGTGGTCTAACCTGAAACAAATACAATCCCTTCAAACTAGTTCTTGTAAACATCCTACTGACTGAATGTAGAAATGTGGCTTGTTGATGATACAAATACTCAACTTTCAACCAATAGGTTCCCGCTACAAAACGCCTGAGACTGACTGAATGACTTTCAACATAGGACTTTGTACAGAAAGACGGTCACCCCAACGGGTTGATCTCCGACGAAATCTCAGTACGGATAGAGAGGGCTAGTTTCGAATATACCAGTTTACGCCGTCTCTGGAGTAGACGTGATTATCCGGCTATCGACCAAAGGGCGGGTGTACTGTTCAGCAGTTCGACCCGTCCTCCCTTATGGCTGCGAGACCTGACCATTAAGAGTGGAAGATATGAAAAGACCGGCTAGCTAGCTGTCTTTGATCATAGGTGCATGAGTTCTATCTCCCGTGTGTGTTAAGTGGTTTAATAGGGTGAGCAATATTGAGGTGAGGCTACGGTCGAGTGCTATCTAAAGAGGGGAAAACAATCGACGGGGCCGTGAAATTATATCGACTGAGACGGTTAGAATATGTGTTATGTATGCCTAGTCATCGCCTTCCTCGACAATGGGCAATGTCAGCTGACATAGGGTCAGGCTGGAAAAGAGCTAGCGGCGGTCAAATCAAAAGACGGCTGCACCACTCAATGAAATCCACAACAGTTAGTTTAAGCCAGACAGCCAGCCACGTTGGAAGGTGTAGACTCCCTGACTGGTTGCAGTCCTCGGGACGGTAAACACCAATCGCTGGAGACAATCAGTGGTATGGCTCAAAATCGTTCTCAATGGTGGCCCAGATGCATCCACTCCTTGTGACTTATAATTTCCAAGTATTGGTTTTGTAGGGATTTTGTTTGATTGCAGTTCATGATTAAATCCTCCATGCAATCAAACTTATAATTTCCACTGAAACTGTTTTGTTCTTCGTTATTACTCTTCCTTTGTCTCACACCTCGGCTTACTGTCTCTGATAAGCATTTCTTCTACTTTCTTCTCTTGCTTTTTGTGCTACGAGGAGGTAGTGTGGCATCTTGAAACTGCCGCACATTTGTGCAAAGTTCTATGTCGAAAACAGAGAGACGGTTGTCACATTCCATGTAGCTAGCTGTACACAAGGGTAGATAAAAGTGAGAATGCAAAACAGGATTCAAAAATGTACTATAAGCAAGCAGAAATGTGACGGAGAAAGTCCAGTAACAATGGAAAAGCATTACGGTTCAATAGGTTATATATTTCACCAACCAGGCTGCGTGATCACAGGGATGGATCCTCAGAGACAACTGAACAGCTTACTAGTCTCAATACCCGACATTACATTCTCTAACACTGATTAGATTTACTTAGTGGAACACTTTGCAATGATATAATTTACCTGATACAATTGAAATGACATCACAGAGCCTAGTGGAATGAATAACAATTAGACCTGATCAACATAAAAATCAATTAATTGTGATAAGGATAAATAAAATTTTTAAAAAAAAACATTAACTACTTACTGAATCATCATATGAAATTCATAACTTGGATTACTAGGATCTAAATCGATTTGATCACGAACTGCTTTTTGTGCAGCACGTCGTTCTTCGCGTCTTTGTTGTATACGTTCAATTTCTTTAACACAATTCGACTTGCGTAAAGTTCCGCTTCCACCAGTAACGTTACTACCTGCTAATGCTACCCCAGCTGCTGTTGTTGCTGCAGTGATGTTAGTGCTATTTATTATTGTATTGTTTACAGCCAGTGTGGTATTTACATTAGATATGCCTATATTGGAGGGTGCACGACCTGTATAGAAAAATAAAAAAGAGACGAAAGGCAATTTGAATCAACTACTTTAAGGCATCTTAATATTGGTTGAAAGATTTCATCATGAGCTGATATCGGTTAGAGAACCACCGGAAAACCACCTAGGAGTACTGGACAGTTGTTTTGTCCTAGTTAGGGACTAACTCTTCAATGGTACGCATCCACCTCCGGGGTTCGAACTCAGGACCTTCCGGTTACAAGGCGAGCGACCTCGTAGACCATTAAGCCACTGGGACTCGCCAATCCAATGGCCAGCGCATGAATTCTAACTTCTGCCAGTTCATGACATAGCGCGACCACTTCGTATTGTCTTCTCCGATGATTTAGTGCCTAACCTTCAGCCTGCTGTATCCTACTAGCCACGATTTCCCACTGTAACGAAATAAGACAAGGGCCAGGCAACAGACCGTTTATTGAGGAAGTCAACAGATATTCATATATTTTTATGTACATCATAATTCGTTATTTTAGCAGAGAAACAGCGTCCTCTGACTGGACGTTTTCTCACTGGAAGTTATTCTGTCATCTCTATGGCCGTTTCTTTGGTCAGACCATATATCTGGGAATCGTATCCGCCCACGTAAAGTCTTTCTTCTTGTTTTTCCCATGACCAAGATTTGGGACGTAAACATTGACGTAAATTGGTGTCTACAAATTTGGCTAGCAGACAGCTTTCACCACACCACTAGAACCGCAGGTTAACTACCCGAATAGGGTCAGTCGCCAGTGAGCATCTTAATATCTTGAAATAAATTATTATTAGAAAAATTACTGTTCCCTTGGGTCCCCCGAGTGGAACATAAGGCTCCAACAACAAATCTCCACTTCGTCCTATGTCCTGCCGTCCTCCTCATCTGACAGGGGGGCCACGATTGTCTATAGTCTCCCATCTCATCTATGTCAAACCTTCGGAGCCACACTCAACTCGTCGTTTCCCCTTTTGGGTCCCACTCGAGGTATCGACGGTCTCCTCAGTGGCAAAAGTGACACAAATCCAACTTCACTCTCTTCTACATATTTGTTAGGTAATAAGATCTTGGTTACAGGATTTCATCATGAGTTGACATTGGTTAGAGAACCATTGGAAAATCTAGGAGTACTGGACAGCTGTGTCGTCACTCTGGTTTGGGGGCTCTTTATCAGTACAAACCCAATGAGATTCAAACCCTGTCCAATGAATCCCAAACTAGGACGAAACAGCTGTCCAGTACTTCCAGTTGGTTTTCCAATGGTTCTCTGACTAATGTCAGCTCATGATGAAATCCTTCAACCAATCAAATCCCTACAAACTAACACTTGAATAAGTCCTTGGTTAATTTGGAATAAATAGCACAGTGTAATATTCACGCATAAATGATGAATACACTAATATCAGAAGAAGATAACAATGTGTAACCAAAGATTTGCTGAAAAACAAAAAAATTCGATAACCTGTCCTTAATGCCTGTCAACTCCACTCATAAAAGCTAAACATATGACACCGAAACAACTGAAAAGTAAGCGCCCATAAATATATATTCAATGTGTACAACAAAAATTAGGCATTGAATGTTTGTTTCAAATAGAAAGAACAGCAGTAAAATGTGCATAAATTATTTTTTTTTAAAAAGGGGGATAGATAACACACAACATACCAGTTGGCCGACGGGATATATCACCACCACCAACACGATTTCCATTAGTTATAATTGGTACAATATTATCTTCACTTGCATCACCATTTTCTTCATCCATCCATTCACCCAACAGTATACTACTTTCTGTTTCACGAGGTATATTTGATGAGAATTGATGATAATTATCTTGGTCAGTTGGACGAACAACAGGTTCAGATGACTCTACATCCTCATCCATTGGTTCTCCAGTCATCGGGCGTTGATGATGTCCAGCAGTATTATGACGGAATGCTATAAAATTGGTGGGGTTAAATACAAATGAAAAACACAGAATCTTTTAATACGCATAATATTTGGTTATCACTTTAAATAAGTCTGGAAAATGTAATACATCATTTTTTGAGCTTGACCACGGATGGATATCAGTTAGAGAACCTTTGAAAACAATCACTGGAGTACTGCCGTGGTGTATTTGTAGAGCATATTCATCAACTGACGAGTTCTACCGAAGTTCATGAATTAATTAAGAGTAGTAGTAGTAGTCGATTAGTTAGAACTCAGCTGCTTGAAACATATTTTTTCATGTATCACGCGATGATGTGTGTGTACAGTTGTTGTAGACGGCTGAGGATACTGCCTAGCATTTACACAAACTGGGAGAGAGGAATTTCAACTCAGAAACTCATTGGTTGAAAAGTCGAATACATCAGCTAAATGGTCATATCTCTCATTATTATTTATTCCTTCAACGCTCCGGGTGGAACATAGAACGGCTTCCATCTAGAGCTTTAAAGTTTCAGTAGCAGTGGTTTTATGTTAACGAGGTGAAGTTGCCAGCTTCACGCTAAAACTCCCCTTCTTACCGGTCTTACTATCGGCTTAGCGAAGTTTAAGGGTGGCACCGACCGGGGGTCGAACCCCGGACCCCGTAAGGTGCGGTTGGCGAACGCGTCTCATCTCACTGGCAGGGAAACTATTATATACTCCACATGTGAGTGAACAGACGAGTGTTGAATTCTCAACTCTTGTGATTACTCCAGACACCACAGATTACAACATCATCAAATATTTGATCCCCTAATGGTTTACACGCTACTATATCAACCTTATAATGCGTTAAACTCTAGTGACGGGGATACATGTCTGCGTTGAATGTATAAATAAAATTGGCTAACAAGAAGGGATAGGTGTACAGACAACGAAACACACGCCTCTGCTTAGATTGTGTACATTGACTAGTTATTTAATTATTCAAACAAGTAACAATGAACCCCATAGAAAGTTTTCTCTCTCTTGTTGCTTTAAAAACGTGGTGTGCAAAAGAAAACAACAAAAATACCAAGCAAAGAAACAACATTCAGAGAAGGATGAAAGATAAGGGAAAAAGCGTAGATATTCATGCGCCTATATAAGAATGTAACAGATGTCATTACTTAAAAACTGAAACAAGCAACGAACTAAATCAAGATAAGCCAAAGGCAACACTGATCAATGAATTACACGAACAAGTACAAATATGTAGTGTAGTACCTACTTTGAAAAATAATCACAAAACAGACTAGACTGACTGACAGGCTGACTGGCTAAATCTTCATGAATCTTGTAGATCACAAGAGAGAGAGAGAGAGAGAGAATGCAACTCCACCACCCAACCACTTTTAGAGAAATATCACCAAGAGTCTCTAGTCATTTGCATTATTAGCATTGATCAGGACCGCACTTAGGTAATCTACAACGGTCTTCCTAAAGGATTCCAAATAACATTAAAAAACTTCATGGTCTGATACCAATTTTGTGTCAGCTAACATTGCTCAACGAGGAAGCCGATGGCTCAGTATGTCAAGCGGGTGATATAGTCTGAATATCGATCCCCAGCTGATTGATGACTACTGGATGGATGTCTTTAAGCTGTACAAGAAGTCGTGACCAGTGAAGTCCACAACATGAAGGTGAAGTGGATGCTCCTCGAAGAGGTACAAGTGAGGGGAGGTAGCGCTAGGCAATCACATATTGCCAAAGTAGGAATTCATAGGTCATTGAGTCCCAATCCAAGTCGCTTGGACATCAACGGGCTTGATCTCGATTTCTGATAGGTTCGTGTGTGTGCGCTGATGAAGAGACCCTAGATATGACGAAATGGCTATTCACTGCTACCTGGTTTTCAATGATTCTCTTATTGGTGTTGGTTCCTGACGAAGTCTACATGGAAGGTTGAAAAAACCGAGACCGATAATCCCCATACAGGGAAAGACTTGAAAAATGAAACGTGGAGTAACAATCACTTGCAATTCCATCTATTTGGCAGTGAACCAAGCATACTGTGTGATGGCTAGTATCATCCATTACCTGGCTGCTGTCCAAATGTTAGTCGATGATGAGCAGGCTTTTCGAACTAGTAGCCCATTAATTAGATAGAAGTCGATCACCTTAAATCAATGAGCCAACGAAAAGACTGACAAGTAAACCGGAAGAAATAAGTATGTGGAACTTAAGTGAAAATCAAAACTCTTGGGAATAATACTGCAATGAACACATTGTTCACATTATACACTTAACTATCCTGATATGGGCCTTTAGAAGTGTTGACTGCGAAGTAATTGGGGAACTACTTCAACACTATGTCTTCATCAACCTCATTCATCAGTTCGCTATAGGACAATGCCTGCCACCTGTCAGATGATCCAGAACGGGAAACTCGCCAACGCGTCCGAAGTGACTACAGGAGTAAGACAAGACTGGCACGGTGTCTGCTATCACCAATGATGATATTTTCCTTATTGTGGTGGGCTGGATCATGTAGCACATTGCGGAAAGCCATCGAGAAGACAGCAATACGCTGAACAGATAGGAAGACCCTAGAAGACCTGGATTTCTCGTGTAGGGTTGATGATTTATGTTTAATGTCACACAAACTCGAAGACTTGCAGGCAGGCGAAAGCCAACAATCCGGCTGAAGACACTGGCAGCGAAGACATGAATCAAAGTGAACATAGAGAAGACAGAGGTGATGAAGATAACCAACCAACCAACAAGCAGCACCCACTAGAAACAGAAAAAATTTGAAAGAGGTTACTTCCTTCACTCATCTAGGAAGCACGGTTTGTAACACAGGTGGAGTGGATGAAGACGTCGAAGCCAGCCAGAATCGGAAAAGCTAGATATACCTTCACCGACCTGAAATCAGTTTGGAAATCTTCCGCACTCAGCATAAAGAACAAGATTCGCATTTTCAACACAAATATGAAGTCAGTCAGTCAGTCAGTTCTTCTATATGGGTCAGAAACGTACGTGCACTGCGCGTGAGTCACGAAAGGCATTTCCAACAGGCCAGCGCAGCGTTCAATCGATAGCTACCTTCGCTGGCAGCTCCCTATCGAAGATCAAATAGCTGGTCAACCGGAAAGAATTAGCAACAAGAAACTCTAGCAATGAACAAACCACTCTTAAACCGATTGCCCAACAAATATGGAGGAGATAATGGAGATGGATCAGACGCATGCTACTGAGGAGGCCGTCGAATGACATCACGCGCCAGGCTATCACTCGTGTAGAACTCAAATGAGAAATGACTACCTGGGTGTAAATCCGAAGGCGAGATGAAGCAGATCGTGTTGCGTGGAGGAGATGAGAGATTGTGGACAATCGTGGCCCTCATCAGCCGAAGAGGACAGCAGAAAATAGAAGAAAGTGGAGGTGTGCTGTTGAAGCCCTATGTTCCACTCGGAACAGTATATATATATATATATATATATATATGTATATAAATGGACCCACGCAAAAAAAAACTTGGAGGATCTGGACTTCGCCGATGATATATATCTGATCTCCCACAAACTCGAAGATATGCAAGTGAAAAGCAACAAGTTGGCACAAGAAGCATCAAAGATAGGACTTCAAGTGAACAAAGAGAAAACAGAGGTGATGAAGATTCCTGGGCAACAACAATAGACAACAATCAGCATAAGTGGGAGGAACCTGAAAGAAACAACCTCCTTCACCTACCTAACTGGGAAACATCGTTTCAGCTACAGGTGGATGGAACTGATGAGGATACCCAAGTGAGGATTGGGAAAGCAAGACAAGCTTTCATTACTCTTAAGTCTGTGTGGAGGTCAACAGCACTACTCAGCATGAAAACGAAAATAAGATCCGGATTTTCGACTACAATGGATCAGAGACTTGGCGCGTCACAAAGAGCATTTCAAACAAACTACAGACCTTCATTAACAGTTGTCTTCGCTCAATACTACTCAAGATCAGATGGCCGGCCAGAAAAGATCAGCAAAAAAGATCTCTGGCAATGAGCGAACCAACCAGGAACCGATTGTGCAACAAATAGACAGGAAGAAATAGAGATGGAGGAAACCAACAAGTGACATCACTAGATAAGCCATTTCTCGAGTGGAACCCGCCAAATGGGAAGCGGCGAGTTGGTCGTCAGTGCAAGGGTGACTTGGAGGAAGTCATGTGAAGAGGAGATGAAAACATATGGGCAGACTTGGAGCCAGGTGAAACTCTAGCAGAGAACTGAACGCAATGAAGACGCACGGCTGAAGCCCTATGTTCCTTTAGGAATTAAAGGATATATATATATATATATATATATATATCACTAGATAGGATGAAATGCAATAATAATTTCATATTACCTTTCGCAATCTTCGCATCGATTAGTGCTGATCATGGATCAAAGAGCTAGTTTATACATATGTTGGTGTATGTAATCTACCAAAAGTTTAAAACCAAGACAATGTATGTAAACCCGAACACACGTATACATACACACACACACACACAAACACACAGACAGAAAATTGTATGTAGTGATAATTTCAATACAATAGAATCTTGATTTAATTTAAACGATGCAGGAAAGCGAGACTTTTTATATAATTCACTTTGTGGTGGAATAATATATATAAAGTTTAAAAACTATATTAACAACCATTTCGATTGTACTTGCAAAATCTCTAAAGTGGAAAATATTACAACAACACAGTAAGAAGAATAACACTATTGCTATAGTAACGAGTAATGATAATAATAATAATAATAGTAATAAAGTTTGCACTGCATAGCATAGCATACCACTGAGAAAACCGTAAAAGATAAAAGAAACAAACCTTCATTATACGCTTGATTATTGGCTGTAGTATCCACAGATGCTTGAGGACGAAAGGAATGCGTTGTTGTACGATCATCATAAGCTCCCATTGTTGTAGAACGTTTAGCCGTATGACTAACAGGCAAACGAGAGGATGCTACCGTGAGACGAGTTGACGGAGGTATTAAGCGGGATTGATTACTATTAGCCGATGAATAATCTACTTGTGTACAACTGACTTTAGACGGTATATTAGAAGAAACCGTAGTAGTAGTAGTAGCAGTAGTAGTGTTAGTAGTAGAAGCAGCAGGAACAGAGGAAGGCTGTAATGGATTTGTAACAGGTGTTGCATTGCGGAGGATTTCATTCGTTTGATTTGTAGACGAGGGACGGTGTGAAGAAGGAGGATTCCGATTGGTATCTCCAGTCCCACATACATGCTCTGCTAGTGGCTAAAATTTTATGTTTTGCAATCATGATGAAGAAGAAAATGGAAAGATTGTTATTTTATTGAATTTATAAAAAATTTTTTCAGAAACCTCTACACAAAATACAGATCGATATTCAAGTGTTGGTTTCTAGGGATTTGACTGATTGGTTACAGGATTTTATCATGAACTGGCACTGGGAGAACTGGACAGCTGATTCGTCAGTCTATTTTTGGAACTAAATCTTCAAGCAATACATACACTCATCCCGCTGCCAGGGTTCAAAAACACAGAATCATCCGGTTACAAGGCGAGCTAGATCGTAGACCATTAAAAGCCACTAAGATCCGATTCAATGGTTCTGTATCTCACTGGTTACACGACTTCCCCCTAGAACCCCAGATAACCATATACCTGAAACAGTAATTCATGGACCATTGGACCTAATGGTCTAAAATTTCGCCTCGTAACCAGAACGTCCTAGGTCTGTCTGTCTGTCCGTCCGTTTTCAACATAGAACTTTGCACATATGTACTGCAGTTCAAGTCGCCACATTCCCTATATGTAACATACAAAGCAAGAGAAGAAAGTAGAAAGGCATAATAGACACAGTAAACAGAGTTGTGAGACAAAGGAATAATAATAACAAAGAACGATGTAGTTTCATTGGAAACCATAAGTCACAGGGAGTGGATGCATCTGCGCCAGCCATTGAGAACGATTTTGAGCCATATCATCAATTGTTTCCAACCATTGGTTTTTACCGTCCCGAGGACTCCAACCAGTCAGGAAGTCTACACCTTCCGACGTGGCTGGCTGGCCGGCTTAAACTAACTGTTGTGGATTTCATTGAGTGGTGCAGCCGTCTTTTGCTTTGACCGCCGCTAGCTCTTTCCCAGCCTGACCCTATATCCGCTAACATTGCCCGTCGACGCCGAGGAAGGCAATGACTTGACATACGTAACACATGTCCTAACCATTTCAGTCGATGTAGCTTCACAACCACCTCGTCGATTGATTTTCCCTGTTTACCTAGGACTCGACGCCTAACCTCAATATTGCTCACCTTATTATGCCACTTCACACGGGGAACAGAGCGCAGGCACCTATGATCAAAGACAGCTAGCCAGACTTTTCATGTCTTCCACTCTCAGTGGCCAGGTCTCACAGACGGGATACAGAAAGGAGGATGGATCGGACTGGTGAGCAGTACACCCGCCCTTTGGTCGATAGTCGAACATCTCGTCTACGCCAGAGTCGGCGTAAACTGGCAAATGCGAAACGAGCCCCCTGTATCCGTGCGGAGATTTCGTCAGAGATCAACCCGTTGGCACTGGCTGATGGTACTCCCCAAATAAGTGAAGTAAGCGGTCAACGTGCTCTACCACTTCACTTCCTATTTTTAAACTAGGCATCGATGTAGTCCAGTCTTATATCATCATCTTACATTTGGTGGGAGCGAATCCCATCCCAAACATTCGTAGATTGCGGCTCAAGGTGTTTAGAAGACTCTGCATTTCGTCAGCGTCTTCGCCTAGAAGGACTATATCGTCTGCATATTCTAAGTCAATGAGATTATTCCCTGGTAGCAAGTCAATCCCTGTGTCTCTGAAGTGACTTAGGTTTAAGTCCATCAGTACATCTATGATGAAATTAAATAGAAATGGGGATAATAGGCATCCCTGATGCACACCACTAGTTGTCACCATTTCAGATGACAACTCGCCGTAAGCCCTCACCTGGTTGCTTGAGTTCGAGTAGTGACTTGATCAGTGGGTGATAATGTATGTTCTCGGCATTCCCTTTACAGCTAAGCATCTCCAGAGAACTTCTCGATCGACAGAATCGAATGCCGCCTTTAGGTCAAGAAATATAATGATTGTTGGACGCCGGTAGGGATGCCTATGTTCTAGAATCTGTCGAAGGGTGAAGATATGATCAATACACCCTCTTCCTGGTCTAAAGCCTGTATGGCTCTCTCATGTTTGTGCCTCCTAGGTTCGATTCTCAGTGGGTGCGTACTGATGAAGAGCCCCAAACCAGACTGACGAAACAGTTGTCCAGTACTTCCAGGTTTTCCAATGGTTCTTTAACCGATGTCAGTTCATGATCAAATCCCTGTAAATCTACACTTGAATAGTTAATATCATGAAAAATATGAATTTGAAACTCGATAAAAACATCACAAACACAGTAGGATGAAAACTTACGACTGAATATTTTAAATTAGGATTCAACTGAAAGATAGCTTCAAACTCGACCTACAATGAAATCAAATAGTGGAAAGAAATAAAATATTAAACAATTAGACAACAAAGCAGGCAAGATGTCAACAATAAAGCAACACTAAAAAACCACTTACAAGATTCGCAGATTAGACAGTTGGTTACAGTTCAAGTATATTATATAGACACACAGGAGCAAACTTTTAGATTGGGTGTTTCAATATAATTCCACATTTTAGTTTGTTTATCAGATGGATATCACACACACACACACAGTCAGTGAAATAGTACTATAATTTACTGGATAACACAGCTGAGAACACAATTTATTACTGTTCATAATCATATCGCCAATTAATATAAACCACACACAACTTCGAGACTTTCATTTGATAGTTTTCTTTATTCTTTCCCCCGTCTTCGTCGGCGTGGAGGTAGTAGGATTTTCTAGATGTCCGGGTGGATAGGTTTTGAGTCACAATCCGATTACACGTACTCTCTTCAGTTAATTCGATAAATACAGCTTCCGTTGTTATCAGTCTCTCACTACACACCCTGTTACATTAGATTTTAAAACTGTCATCTTATCCCATGTAGTGAGTGCTATAGAGCTGAACTAACTATTCTTCAGATTTCTTATCTTACTACGGTCAACTAATCTAGATTTCGCTGCTGGGTTTTTATGCTCCGCTATAGTCTGTCTGACTGGCTGACCTCCACCTTCCACTACTTGGGCTGACAATCATTTCAGCAGGGTATTAGATAGACTAAATTGTTTTGTTTTTGTTTAATTGACTCCCCACAGGATTAATCCTTTAACCCACAAAGCTTATTTCTAATGGAGTTTGTGGGGAGATTTGATTGCCAGGCACTTTTATTCGTGCCTGCATTGTTAAGAATTCTCTGTAAGGTGATTTTCGAGGTTCCTTCTTTGTATGGAAGTACTACTGATGATTTAGATTCCCTATTTTGGTGTTGTCATTATACTGTGCATGTCTGACATACATGTCTTCATTAGTGCAACTAATAATATTGTTATTATTATCACTGTCATTATTAGTAATTTTATTTTTTACATTTTCCTACATAATTCCTAATTATTTCATCAAGGTAATTATTAAGTTTCAAAGCTTCTCTTAATATGCCTTACCTCCTGTCTTCGATTTTCCTTGGTACTACTTAGTTTTCGTGTCCTTTTGTCACTTAGACATTTCACCAATTCTATTTGTACTGACATACAGTGGGTTGATCCGAAATCCAAATATCTGTTAGAGTATCTGGGTTTTCTCTAAACACTGCCGTGTTTCAACCTTCCATCTTCTTTCCTTTTTACGTTGCAATCTTACACTGGAAGCCCCCTTCTTGATTTTCCAATACATAAGTGAACTGAATAGCCTCTACCTTCCAGCTGATGTGTTAGGAAAAAAAACTATTTATGCCTTGTGTTCTTAGTACGGTTAATATGTCATCTTAACACCTCTACTACACACCTGACCTTGACATCTGGATAATTCTACCACCCCTACCTACGACAACGAATAGCAAACAGTAAAGAAAACTACAAAAATGGAAGTTAAAATTGATGATATAATTATGAACAATAATAAATTGTTATTCAAGTGTTGGTTTGTAGGGATCTGATTGGTTTCAGGATTTCATCATGAGCTGCCATTAGTTAGAACTAGAATTGGCAGAAGTTAGAATTCAAGGACCATTGGATCGGGTCGCAGTGGCTTAATGGTATACGAGCTCGCCTTGTAACCGGAAGGTCCTGGGTTCGAATCCCGCAGTGTGGGTGCGTACTGATGAAGAGTCCCAAACTAGGCTGACGAAACAGCTGTCCAGTACTCCCAGTTGGTTTTCCAATGGTTCTCTAACTAATGTCAGCTCATGATGAAATCCTGAAATAATAAATTGTGTTCGAAACTTTTTCATCCAGTAAATAACACTGCTTCACTGTGTGACATATCTAATAAAAAAATTAATATGGAATTACATACTATCACAGCACCCAAGCGTTACACATATTAAAATAGTGATTCAATATATTCTATGTTTCTGCATACTAAGTAAAAATAGGGTGCGTCGGTGGCACAGTGGTTAGGACGCTTGCCGACTATACACACATGGTCCGGGGTTCGATCCCCGGTCACTGGACGCACTCCTTTACCTTACCAAATCAATAACAAGACTGGTAAGGAAGGGAGGTTGGGCATGAGGCTGGCTAGCAACCCCATCCCACAAAAATAAACACTGCTACAGAAACTTCAAGTCTTTAACTTGGTGCCCTATGTTCCACTGGGAACATGAAGGAATTAGCAATAATAATATGATAAGTAAAAATGGGAGCAGTGGTTCTACATTTAACCGTTTGGTCACAGGTTAGAATCCCACTCCATCTACTGAAGTATAATGAGTGTGACTCATTTCTGAAACAGCAGACAAACACAGGTGGTTGTTGAGTAGTATTTCACAAATAGAAAGTAATGAATGATAATAAAAGGTGAAAATGTAAAATTTAAATGACCAAAATGTCAAAATACAAACAAAGTAAAGTCATAAAGTACAGAGTTTGAATTCAACTTCATCAAAAAGTTATCTACAGCAGATGATGCATCGGCATCACTCGATCACCCAGTTGTAGACGTAGCTGATTGGCTGACGTATTCAACAATTAGTCAATAAAGTCAGGTATCTGAGTCCTGTGTTCTGTCTACTACAGCCTGTCAACCAAAGGGTGGGTGTAATGCTCACCAGTCCGATCCGTCCTCCTTTCTGTCTCCCGTCTGTGAGACCTGGCCACTGAGAGTGGAAGACATGAAAAGTCTGGCTAGCTGTCTTTGATCATAGGTGCCTGCGCTCTATTTCCCGTGTGAAGTGGCATAATAAGGTGAGCAACATTGAGGTTAGGCGTCGAGTCCTAGGTAAACAGGGGAAATCAATCGACGAGGTGGCTGTGAAGCTACATCGACTGAAATGGTTAGGACATGTGTCACGTATTCGCAGTCATCGCCTTCCTTGACGTCGACGGGCAATGTTAGCGGATATAGGGTCAGGTTGGGAAAGAGCTAGTGGCGGTCAAACCAAAACATGGCGGCACCACTCAATGAAATCCACAACAGTTAGTTTAAGCCGGCCAGCCAGCCACGTCGGAAGGTGTAGACTTCCTGACTGGTTGGAGTCCTCGGGACGGTAAAAACCAATGGTTGGAAACAATTGATGATATGGCTCAAAGTGATCGTTCTCAATGATGGCCCAGATGCATCCACTCCCTGTGACTTATGGTTTCCAATGAAACTACATCGTTCTTTGTTATTATTATTCCTTTGTCTCACAACTCTGTTTACTGTGTCTATTATGCCTTTCTACTTTCTTCTCTTGCTTTGTATGTTACATATAGGGAATGTGGCGACTTGAACTGTCGCACATGTGTGCAAAGTTCTATGTCGAAAACAGACAGACAGACAGCCCGGACAACTACTGTGTAGTACCTTCAGTACTTACACAATAAGTGTGGCTCCTAGTCTGATATGCTAGAAATATGTCTTGTTCCATGTGTTGGCTGTTGTATAGATCTCAACCAAATAATTTGCACATTCTCCTCACACGATGTGAATACATAATCAATGACTCCATAAATCGATGTCATGCAAACACAATATGTAATGAATTTTGTTGGTTAGTTAGTACAAGAATAAAAAAAACACAAAATGAGTATTTGTCAACTTGCTGTTTTCTGTACTTTGAGTCATAAGATGCCTAAAAAGTGAGGAAACTAACCTCTAAACACCAGAGGTATTTCTGCAAAGTTGATTTGACCACCAGAGTGGTCAGAGTGATAACTTCAGTTTGCTACACACACCTACTTTATCGTGCTAATTAGTGAGACAGAAAGTAAATGGATGCAAGAATCACAGAAGAATTAGCCTAAAGCATAAGGTTTCAAGATATGATCGTAACTGACTGACTGATTAGTTTCAACACAGAACTTTCCACTGATGTGAAGCAGTTTGAGTTGTCACGCTCTACCATTTAGCTCACAAAGCAAGAGAAGAGAGTAAAGGAGGCTGAAAAGACATAAATAACAAAGAGAAGTGTATGGGAGATATGATAAATCACAAAGAGTCAATGCATCTGCACTGTCATTGACAACGATTTTCAGCCACATCATCAAGTATCTCCCAGCCACCGCCATTGGTTCTTACAACCAGGAAATAAATGTACATCTCCCTATGTATCTGGTTTAAACTAACTGTTAAGAATTTGATGAACAAAGCAAGAACAACAATTGTACCAGGTTAATTAATATGAGCTCATCTTTTATTATTTCGAGGATTCTTCTCAACTGGTTACAACCTGAGCGTTAAAAAAATTTGAATTACATTGAGGATATGAACATACTTTTCCACGATCATAAGAAGTAATTGGTAGGAATTAAAATTAACATTAGTCCGGAATGATTTAATTGATTAGCAGTTAAAACAATGACTATTTACAGAATAATTAAACAATTAGGCTTGGAAACAAAATGCAGAGTTGCGTATCTGTCTGTCTGGATTCAACATAGAACTTCCCACCGAAGTGCAGCAGTTCGAGTTGCCACCTTCCAAATAGCACACAGAAGTAGACAAAATGAGTGAAGAGAATTTATAGAGTTTGACAAGTATAAGAGTGAAACAGAATGGGTAATGGTAGAAAGGAATATGAAAGATTACAGAGACTGAATACATCTGCGCCATTGACAACGATTTTGAGCCATGTCACCTATTGTCTCCAACCATTGATTCCTAGAGTCCCGAGGCCCCCAACCCGGGAGTCTGCATCTCCCTACCTGACTCAGTTTAACTGTCAGAGTTGCGCATATATGTGTGTATAGAAACAAGGTTTAGCTTCAAAGAGCTGTCTGTCTGTCTGTTTTCGACATAGAACTTTGCACAAATGTGCAGCAGTTCAAGTCGCCACATTCCGTGTAGCACGCGAAGCAAGAGAAGAAAGTACAAGAAAAGCATAATAGAAACAGTGAGCAGAGGTGTGAGACAAAGGAGTTATAACGAAGAACAAAACAGTTTCATTGGAGATCATAAGTCACAGGGAGTAGATGCATCTGCGCCACTGAGAACGATTTTGAGCCATGTCACCAATTGTTTCCAACCATAGATTTTTACCGTCCCGTGGACCCCAGCCTGGAAGTCTATTTTTTATTTTATTTTTGATTTACACCTTGATTCCACACTGTATTTTTGGTACAAGTGTGGAATTTTCAGCGTGGATATAGGTAGCCCAAATTTTGCAGGCCGACCATAGATATCAGGTGTGCGCCGGCGTGGGCTCGAACCCCGGACCATGTGCATGGTCGGCGAGAGTCCTAACCACTGTGTCTACACCTTCCTACATGGCTTAGACCAACTGTTGTGGATTTCCTTGACTGGTACCAAGTTTTTGTTTGACCGCCGCTAGCTTTTTTCCAGCCTGACCCTATATCCGCTAACATTGCCCGTCGACGCCGAGGGAGGCGATGGCTTGGCATACGTAACACATGTCCTAACCATCTCAGTCGATGTAGCTTCACGACTTCGTCGATTGATTTCCCCTGTTTACCTAGAACTCTACGCCTAACCTCAATATTGCTCACCTTATTATGCCACTTCACACGGGAAATAGAACGCAGGCACCTATGATCAAAGACAGCTAGCCAGACTTTTCATGTCTTCCACTCTCAGTGGCCAGGTCTCACAGACGGGAGACAGAAAGGAGGATGGATCGGACTGGTGAGCATTACACCCACCCTTTGGTCGATAGTCGAACATCTCGCCTACGCCAGAGTCGGCGTAAACTGGCAAATGCGAAACGAGCCCCCTCTATCCGTGCTCAGATTTCGTCAGAGATCAACCCGTTGGCACTGGCTGATGGTACTCCCCAAATAAGTGAAGTAAGCGGTCAACGTGCTCTACCACTTCACTTTCTATTTTTAAACTAGGCGTCGATGTAGTCCAGTCCTGTAACATCATCTTGCATTTGGCGGGAGCGGATCCCCTCCCAAACATTCGTAGATTGCAGCTCAAGGTGTTCAGAAGACTCTTCCTCATTTTGTCAGCATCCTCGCCTAGAAGGACTATATCGTCTGCATATTCCAAGTCAACGAGATTATTCCCCGGTAGCAAGTCAATCCCTGTGTCTCTGAAGTCACTTAGGGTTAAGTCCATTAACACATCTATGATGAAGTTGAATAGAAAAGGAGATAATGGGCATCCTTGACGGACACCACTGGTCGTCATCAGTCCAGATGACAGCTCGCCGTAAGCCCTCACCTGGCTGTATGAGTACGAGTAGAGTGCCTTAATCAGTGCAATATATTTTCTCGGAATTCCCTTTACAGCCAAGCATCTCCAGAGAACTTCTCGATCGACAGAGTTGAATGATGCCTTTAGGTCAAGAAATATAATGACTGTTGGACGCCGGTAGGAATGCCTATGTTTCAAGGAGCATAACAAAAAGGTAGATTATGTAATTAAAGAAAACGTCTTATCTAATGGCCAATAAAAAAAGAACAAAGTAGGGTGAGTCATGTGTAGATGAGAGAGTAGAGTTTTCTAGACATGAAAAAAGGGTGACTCATGAAAGTTGTATATTTTTTGTTATCACCAGGGTAGTACAAGACTCACCACTGTCTCTTTCTGCGTACATAGATTTGGTTTAAGTCGTTTGATGGCAATTGTTTCAGCAAAGCATAGCAAGCTAGGTTTCTTTTGCTTGTTGATTATTTTGAACGACTTCAGGTCGTCTACAATATGACCAGTGTCCAATAAATAACGAGCAATCGCACTGTTCAATGCTTGCTTGCGGACCTTCCAGTCTCAGGTTCTCTGTATGTGTTCATAAATGCGGACACTAACCCTTCTCTCTGTTCTTTCAATGTATATGCTTTGGCGCGTACAACATGTAAATTGGTAGACACAGTTGGAGGTAACATGAGGTGGGTATTTGTCCACTTTTGGTTGTCTCAAACAACTAGATGTTTGATAAACACACACACAAGCTTGACGGCTGGATATGTTCTTTTCAGGGCAGCGTTCAGTCTGCATCTTATTCTACTAGCAGTATCATCACCTTTGAATGCAGGCTGCAGGAAGATAGGCTTTTTTTTCTAACGTGTTGCTTTTCACTTTTTCAACATGACGTCTCCCATACTTGTCGATGAACTTTTGTCGGTAACCGTAGTCGCATAGGCATTTCTCCACAATGGATAGCTCTTCCTCAATCTTTTCTTTTGAACACAGTTTCCTCACACTATCAAATAATGTTCTCACCAATCCCTTTTTGTAACTTGTAGGGCAGAAACTTTTGAAGTTAAGATAAACTGCCCTCCAGGTCTCTTTTCTGTGTATATATCTTATGATTTTGCCGTCTTTATCTCGTTGGATACCCAAGTCAAGAGAATGGATTTCACTGACTGATGAAGTCATGATTGCATTTGACCACCACTACCTAACTCTTTTCCTACGTCAGCCAGCTAACATTGCCTGTTGTCGAGGAAGGCGATAGGTGGCTAGGCTAGGCAAGTGCAGTAACACACGTCCTAACCATCTCTCTCAATCCATGCAACTTCACTACACAATCTCGACCAATGACTTGCCCTTCAATTCCCCTACCACTCCACCGAAGTCAAACCTCCTCAATATTACTCACCCTATTATACCACCACCTGTCACCCAATACACACGGGAAATAGAATGCAGGCATCTATGACGGAGGACAGCTGCCAGGCTTTTCGTGTCTTCCACTCTCAACGCCTACGTCTCACTCACAGCCAACCATAAAGCAGAACTCAGAGAACTGTTGAGCAGTTTGATCCTTTTGGTCGACAACCGGGTATCACTTAGGGTTAAGTCCATTAGTTCATCTTGTGATCATAGAAGAATTTGATGACAGTAAGACTAAAACAGATCTGAGCAGGTTATAGATCTGATTTGGGGTATCAAAAAAAACTCTACCCTTCTCTCCTAGATCTTCGAAAAAAATTCCAATTAGAACAACAAATGTAAGTAAGCTCCAAAAGGGATTTCCTTTAGCTTCAAGGACTCATTTGAGTCATTTTAAATCCAATAAAACTCCCACGAGATTTTAAAATATTCAAGATTCACTTAGTAAAATGCAAACAGAGCCCGTGTAAGCACAAAAACAAAACCCAACTTCATAGGAAAAAAATAAAGCTTGATAAAAAAATTTGATAAGATAAAAATCAGCGTTACAAATATACATGTATACATACACACATACGAATGTTAGTTTTTTATAGTAAACTGTCTCATAATGAATTGTTAATAAATCAGTTGAATTGTACACTAATGAGATTACCTCTTTCCCCTTCGCCTCACCCTTTTCGTACCACTCAACTGTGACACTTTTTGAGGTGGCATTGATACCACTGACAATAGCAGAATGCACACGACCTAAATAGACCAGAAAAGAACCAATAGATATTGTACTCTTCAAAGTAAATTGAATATATATATATATATACTAGTGTGACGTGTCTAGTCCTTTCTTTGGTGAAGACTGAATTCTATCTGTTAAGCTTGCAATGTGATGGCGAGCTACCTAGAATGATGGTGGCCACATTGCAAACCTGACTGATAGATAGAATTCAGTCTGCGCCAAAGATAATCGGACTAGACACATTACACTAGTTACTGACTAGTGTCCAATCAAAAATACCCAATACAGTCCTATAGGAGGTCAATTGCGAAGCAGAATAACTCAGTGGTAACGTCTCTTACTGCAGCACTGGAAGGTGACGCGGATTTGAATCTCAAAAGGGACATGAGTTCCTTCAAAGTTGCAGATATGCTTTGCTGACGAGTGCCAACCAACACGAAACTTAGGTCTAAGGCTTGCTGCCAACTGCCTCCAACTATATAACATATATATATATATATATATATATATATATATATATATATATATATATATATATATATATATATATATATATATGGGATGGCTACCGTTGAAAACATTTTTCTGAATAGTAACTTACAAAATAAAAAAATTGTCTCTCTAATTCTTGGTAATGTGTAGACGACAAATAAGCATCGGAAAGAACTAGCCACAATATTGGTGTTACAGTGGTATAATTATGAAAGCAAATACTTTATCGGCATGCGTTGTTCATATGGCTTACTGAGAAAGTTGCGAAATTGATATATCTGTTTGTCCGTCTGTTTTCGACATAGAACTTGCAAAAATGTACAGCAGTTCAAGTCGCCACACTCCATGTAGCACACGAAGCAAGAGAAGAAAGTACAAGAAATGCATAATAGAGACAGTAAACAGAGGTGTGAGACAAAGGAGTAATAACGAAGAACAAAACAATTTCATTGGAAATTATATGTTAGAAGGAGTGGATGCATCTACACCAGCCATTGAGAACGATTTTGAGCCATGTCACCAATTGTTTCCAACCATTGGTTTTTACCGTCCCGAGGACTCCAACCAGTCAGGAAGTCTACACCTTCCAACGTGGCTGGCTGGTTTAAACTAACTGTTGTGGATTTCATTGAGTGGTGCCGCCATGTTTTGGTTTGACCGCCGCTAGCTCTTTCCCAGCCTGACCCTATATCCGCTAACATTGCCCGTCGATGTCAAGGAAGGCGATGACTAGGAATACGTGACACATGTCCTAACCATCTCAGTCGATGTAGCTTCACAGCCACCTCGTCGATTGATTTTCCCTGTTTACCTAGAAGTCGACGCCTAACCTCCACGTTGCTCACCTTATTATGCCACTTCACACGGGAGATAGATATTTGATATGATATATGGCTAGTAAAAGAAAGAAAATAAGCAGGAAGAAATGGAGATGGATTGGCCATACTCTGAGGAAACCACCAAGTGACATCACTAGACAAGCCATTGCTTGAGTGGAACCCGCCAAATGGGAAGCGGCGAGTTGGTCGTCAGTACAAGGGTAACTTGGAGGAGGTCATGTGAAGAGGAGATGAAAGCATGTGGGCAGACTTCGAGCGGGGTGAAAAAGTTGGCAGAAAACAGAAGGCAATGGAGATGCGTAGCTGAAGCCCTATGTTCCTCTAGGAATTAAAGGAACCACTAGAATGGTGTATTAATTTATTTACTATAGCAGATCATCGATTACTCAGACTATTGTTTATTGTTATTATTTGTTGCTTACGCTCATTGGGCTTCAACAAGCACATCTCGACTGGTCTTTGTTTTTTTGGTGTCAACTATGCATTAACTTTCGAATTCCCTTTACATGATCTCCTCTATGTCACCCTCGCACGGATGACTAATTGCCTCCCACCTGAGTCAACCTGAGAGCATGTCTAACGGATGATGTCACTTGAATGTCTTCACAGTGTGATTTCAAACTATCTCCATTTTATTTTGCCCATCGGTTGAGTAGTAGATTCTTGGCAAGTTCATTGTCTGCCACAGTTCTACGTTGTTTGTCTTTTCCGGACAGCCACTTGTACTTCTGAATTGAATGAATCTGGAAAGTGTCAATGAGAGTCTGAAGTAGCGTGTTGAAAATGCTGTCCATGAGGTGCGAGCTACATATTTGAATCATACAGATGCAATGACTTGACATCAAAGTTGAAAATTCGGATCAAGTTTCTTGATCTTAGTGATTTCGATTTCAGAGTTAATGAAACCGCATTTAACTACCGCTGCCTTGAAATGGTGGTCGGGTTGGCACGCCCCAATGATCATTTTGGCCGATAAGGATATACCACAAGGCCCTACTAAGCAATGAAATTTGTTGAATAGCAATCATACTGACAGAGCTTATCATTATAGAGTAAGTTGCTCATTTTATGGTGACAGTTTGAGGATGAAGTCATACCGTAACTGAAGTAAGATGTTCCTCTCGGTTAATCAGCCAACTGTGCTGTCTTACTGTTTTAAGGAGGTAAAGGGAACGATATGTCCCAAGAACTGTACATTTCTATTTACAATAAGGAGGGAAACGTCTTATATAAGGATGAAGCTCCACAAGCAATCCTGTAACACGCATAGATTAACTACGTTTAAAACACCGAAAAACCCCGCCTAGTTAACTAGCTTGCTAATTTCCTAGCCGGTCCCAAGCCCGGGTAAAGAGGGAGAGTTTAACGTAGGGATAACAACCCTACACCACTAATCCTGTCAAACCGCTAGAGAAACTTCAACACACAAAAAATATTAAAAATTCGAAGAACGATCTTATTCTTCGCAGGAATCGGAGAGGCGAAATGTCGCGCGCTGGTGAAAGCCTTCAAGAAGCCAGTCAGCCGATATGTCTTCTCTTGATGAAAGCAAGATTATGAATGAGGACGTGGAATGTCCGTACAATGTACGGGACTAGGAAGGCTGCTCAAGTAGTCAACGAAATGAGAAGATATGGCATACAAGTGCCAAGTATCTGCGAAAGAAGATGGAATGGATGTGAACTGTCGTAATTGTTAACTGGTAAGCCGGTAATCTACTCCAGTCACCCAAACGACAACCACGAGCACACTGAGGAAGTGAGCGGCTATAATGTCACCAGTGTCAGCCAAAGCTCTAATGCAGTGGGAACCTAAACGATCCAGGATCATGACAGCAAGATTCAACCCAAAAGGAAGGAAGGTTTTAACAATGCAATGATACATACAGTGCTACAAACTACGCAAAAAAACAGAAGAAATAAGATTTTTATAGACAACTAAAAACAGTATTCCAAATGGTGACATCTAGATCCACATGGGTAATATAAACTCAAACTGAACTGAGGGTGGATAACACAGGAGAACTCATCATGGGTCGAGAGGCTCCCCATCGGAGAAATGACTGATAACGGAGAATGATTAGCAGACTTCTGAGCCTTCGATGATTTGGCTATCGAAAACAGCGTGTACAAAAAGACATACACAAAGCAAAATGGATTTTGCCTGATGGACACACTACAAACCAGATGGATTTCATCTCAATGTCGCTCAAGCAAGTGGAGACAGCCAGCCTGCTGGACACAAAGTCGAGAAGGGGAGCAGATGTGGGCTCACACCGTTATCTAGTTCAAGGAACATTCAACGTGGAACAAAAACCCTTCAGAACAACTGGAGACAGACTACAATTCAAGTTTAATATTCAGAAACTGAAGGATAAGACTACAAGGGATGCCTTCATTACAGATCAGATCAGAGCAAAGTCGGAGACACTACGTGGCATCACTGAGGAAACCTGTGTGGAAGAACACTGGAACAAACGGGCTGAGGAAGTAGTGCAGCGAAGACAGGACTCCTAGTGAACACAGAAAAGATGGAGTTGATGAAGATGACCAAACAACCAACAGCAACTAGCACCAATCACCATCGACGAGAGAGATTTAACGGAGGTTACCTCCTTCAGTTATCTAGGCAGTCAGTATCGTTCCAAATACAAGCTGATGGAATGGATGAAGATCTCAAAACCAGCCAGAATCAGAAAGGAAAAGTACACCTCCATCAACCTAAAACCAATTTGGAAATCGTCCGCACTGAACTCAGCACCATAAAGAACAAGATTGAGATTTTCGACACAAATGTAAAGTCAGTCAGTCAATTCTTCCATACGGATCAGAAACTTGCACTGTCTGTAGGTCACGAAAAGAATTTCCAACAGGTTGCTGCAGACGTCTATCAACAGCTGCCCACTTCGCTCAATACTGAAGGTTAAGTGGCCAGAAAGAATAAGTAACAAGAGACTGTGAGAACAAACCAACCAAGAACCGATCGCTCAACAAAAATGCAGGAGAAAATAGAGATGGAGACCGTCAAATGACATCGTGCACCAGGCTCTCAAGTAGAATCCCAATGGGAAGCGACGAGTGGGTCGTCCTAGAGTGACATGGAAGAGATCGTGTGAGGAGATGAGAGATTTTTGGCTACCATGGTCCAAGCTGGAGAGAAGAGAAAGTGAAGATGTATTGTTGAAGCCCTAAGTTCTGCCAGAGACTCAAGAGAATAATAATAATAAAACGCCGAAAATACCCATTGAGTCAGGGAGAAAATACAATAAAATTCAAGGAGGAAATTTTCTTCATCGATGAAATCGTATTTATATTTACCGAAAACGTATGGTAGTCCCCTTATTGAATGTTAGGGGTGTGACATTTGATATAATTACACAGAAGTGGTTTCAAAAGTAAGATAAATTACGTGACACACAACGGTAAAAAGGAAGAGAAGGCTAAAAATTTAATAAGGTTAAAGCGCTGTTAGCGAATGAGAAGACAGTCGAGTGTCCACTTATCGTGTCAAGAGAATAAAAAATGTACAAAAGGAACATGTGAGTGATTATAGTGGATTAATTATCAAAGATAAAAGCACACTAATTATTTAAAAATTAAAAATTACCGGTAACGATTAATAAAGAGGCTAAGACCATAGTACAATAAGTCTTGGCGAACTTAATCTGTATACAAATTTCGGGGTTATATTGACGAAACGCCAGCACCTCCACCATACACAAATGTCGAGACCTAACGCCCTTCGTACCATTCGGTTTCACCTTGTAGATAATCTTTAAGGGTGAATCTGGTGGAGCTGCGTGGCCTGCATTCACCAAGTGCTCGACAATTAAGCCAGTAATTGTTTTGCATTGTCCTCTTGCTCTAACCATGCCACATAATGTTCAAAAATTCGTCTCGAAACTGTACGCTTTGTGCGGCTAATATAACTAACTCCACAGGAACAAGTGAATTTATAAACACACATCGAAGTGGCTCAAAGAAGTAGTTTATCCTCTATACGTCTATTGTTCGTCTGTCGACTGTATCAAGTATGATGTAATTTCTAAATTTTTACTTTTGAAACCACTTTGAGTAATTATATCAATTGCGTCACACACACACACACACACCCCTATTACTCAATAAGGGATTACTATACATTTTTGGTAAGTATAAATACGATTGCACAGCCTCTGAGAATGATTTCAGCGATAAAGAAAATCTTTGCTGAGTTATCTTTTAGATCCTTTATAAATATGTTTACCAAATGAACACAAGTGAGTAACTACTATCCAGCGTCATCTGATTGAAAGTGATTTCTCTATACCATGTTGTACCAAAGACGATAAAAACATGCAGTATTAGCATTTGACTCACACCTGCCAGATGAAAGATGATGAAATATGATCCTACGTAGTGAGAGTTTAACTTATCTGGGAAACCGCTTCATCCTTAGTGGACTAATACCCAACGAAGTCAGAACGAATACAGAAAGTATGTTTCATATCTCACAATACGCGTCATCACTGGTGCAGTTGTGATATCCGATGACTCATCATGGGGCACACATATTGTGCAGTGGTTCACTTCGTCTTAACTCACGGTTGTGATACATGGAATATAAAAAGAATTAGCAGTTTTTAGCCTTTACATTTTCCCGTTTTATATTGAGCAATATTGTCAGTAATAATGAGGCTAAACGTGGAAGGTCCGGTGAACAGAGAAAGTCGTTTGATGCTGTGAAGCCTCATTATCTTAAGTATTTAGGATACTTATTACACATCCTAACTCAATGCTCATCGAGGCCAACAAATTCCGCGTGATTTGCGGACATCACTAGTCACATTTAAACTTGATTTACAGCAATTACACCAAAGCAAAAGTTTCATAATATTTAAAGTGCTTTCTGGTTTTAAATTTAATAGATACCAGAAAATCACACTTCAGTCTCGTTACATACTTTTAAAAAGTTCAGTAGAGACACTTGAGTGAAAAGTAGATGCCATTAGGAAATTAAATGCGCGAAGTGATGAGCATACTTAGATATGAGAAGTTAGAAATAGCTATATAGTAGGATAATGACACTTGTGAAATACAGGAAGATATTTATTGATTGAGCAAATCTACACATGCCTCACGAGAAACTGGACACACTTTGGTCTTAAAAAAACCTAGAACATACGTTCTCACCATGGGGTACATGTTTTTCCTGTATAAACTGCATTTTAATTGCATCAGTTCAAGTTGTCACACTACATAGCAGTGAGAGAAAATTTCATGGGACAGTAGAAACAATGTGTCTTGAGAATAATTGGAATTTGATAGTTGGGAGTGCACAGAGTGAATACATTTTCACCATTGAGGATGAAATGAGGATGTTACCAACAGTCTCTAGGTAATGGTCTTTAGCGTCTCGACGATCCCAGTCAGGAAGTCTACACTATCCTACATGGTACAAACGATGAAAGATTTCATTAATTGATGTCAAGTTTTAGTTCTTCTCTTCTTCAACCCGGATTCTACGTCAGCTAGCCTTGCTTGACAAGGAACTTGAAGTCCGGGGATGCATACCATGTATCTTCAGTGAGTTAAGACATTTTCGAGTATTTCCACAAATACTAATGACAGTCACTACGAAATAGCATGTGAAGAGATATCATTTAACTTCCAATATGTATGTAACTTCATTACAAGGAGAACCACAGCTAAGAAAGAAGAAAGTGAAAATACAGGTAAAGACCTTTAAATTGTCAAACTTAGAATCAGTTATGTAGTGAAATTCAGTAGGAAATACCGGCCCAGTCTACACATGTATTTGTCATATTAGCTGCTGTAAGGATTTCACATGATTCAAAAGACTGGCAATATGGCTAGGCTGTTTGGGAGAAATTTTGTATCACACTATACCTACTTTGATTTAGTACACTAATCCCAAGTTACCAAAAATCACATATTTAGCCAGGTCATATCCTCCTCCTTGATGACAACTTCTTAATCAAACAATAAGCAAAAATACAGTATTGCAACATACAAAGTCCTTGTCAGACGTCATCGGGGGCTGCAGTTTCCCGCATAAAACACTTAAATACTTTGTTACGCATCCCATCTACAGCGGCACAGAAAGCTCTAAGGTACCATCAGCCCTTAAGTGACAAGTGTGCTTCTCCACAAGACGTGTGTACATACACCCAAGCTTTTGACTAACCAATCTACTAAGCTTTTGCACGACTTGCGATAATAGCTGTTTCATTTACTTAGAACTAAGTAGTTTACATATATGCAAGAAACTATCGCTAATCATTGCCTCCCATGAAATCCTGAGACTATCTGAAGTATACGATATGATTAACCACTAGGTTGTTAATTTTCAAGATGGCTTAGGTTATTAATATTCTAAAGGTATTAGAAGGTAGGTAGAATAATCAAGAAGATTCAAAAACTCCGTATTTGGTATGAACACATCCCTGGCTACTACGCAAGCTTCCTATAATGCTGAATTAAATCCTGCTAAGTTTGAAATAACTAACATTTTATAGTGAGTGAAATGATTACTTTAAGCACACAGAATAGAACTCATTGCTGGTTTTCAGTATGACAGGGACTAATTCAGCACCCTGTTCTTTCTCTAGGCAATGTTAGGCGTAGATCAGAATATATTGGGTTTTGCTAGTCAGTGTTGTTCCAGCCCTTGAAAGACGTATTAAGCACCGATTACTTTAGATGCCAATCTTATTTTTAAGATTATTTTCGCATTAATCAAGGACCCAGTGCTCTTTTCAAAACACGATCAGCATTATTTCAGTACACAGTGGGTAGGTAAAATATTCATTTACAATAAAAAGGCATTAATGACACATAGATTAGAATAAGCTTTGAATTGTTGTAAGCTTGAGTAAGGGTCATCACCAACAGCTGATCGTGTGCATTATCAAAGCAGAGAAAATGGAAGTTCTGTACTAAAGGCACGTCGATAGCTGAGTATTGGATGAGACTATTAAAGCTTTTTTTAATTTCCAAAATTGCCCCTACAAAGATATCGTGTGGCTACTGTTTCGAGATAATTTGAAGGTATTATAATCGGCAATTTATCGACTGATGTCAATGAATAATTTGCATCGTAGCCGTCTTCGTGAATAAGATCAGGGGACTAATTCATACTAATAGTTAGGAATCCACACCCCTATAACAACTTTGTCTAAAAGTCTTGAGGAAAACTGCAAAAATACCTTAGGTTTTATATAAAGTGCACAACTAGTTATGTTGACCAGTTACAGTTAACAATGAGTAATAAATTACTTACCATCGGTTCTCTGGATATCTACGTTTATGCCAACCGCTAGCATACCATCAAAACAATCTTCCATATTCACACGCGTGAAGCGTACCGTGGGTCCAGATGATCCCCGAGGTCCATTCAACTTAAATTGAACATCACAAGGACCAAAGCGACACAACAAAAAGTGATACCATGGTGATAATAATCGAATATAATACGCGTGACAGATATTTGTTATACATAGATAATTATTCAATATTCTGAAGAAATCCGGTAATTATTTTTGCACAAGATGTACATAGAGCGCGTATTTTGATAGTACTAGTTTTCGATGTCTGAAAAAGGGCTTAACTGACCTTATAGCTCCTATATCAACTGTTTACTTTTCCTTATTTTATTCACTGCAGCGTTCGTTTGAAAATCTAGAGAAAATTATTCTCATCACTTGCAAAACTAAAAGAAACTGTCAGTGGGACTTTGAGCCTAGGTTTCGAGGTTTGATTCCCGTTGCCCCTCTGGATTTCTTCGCTGGACTTGGGATTCTCTTGTTTTCTCATTCTAAGTGATGGCTTTGTTTTGGAAAATATATATATATAACTTTCGTGATTAACCTTGGGGTGAATGGAAATACCTATATTCGTCCTCTATTCTCATCTAAATGGATAGTTGACGGTGAATAAGGCTGGGCATACAAATAGATTTATAAATAGATTTATTTATTGAATATAAACAGGAATTTCTGAACAAGGGCTGCTCTGCGTGTATTCAGGCAGGAAAACATACACCTACACGTTTATCCAGCCCTGGAGGGTTCCACGGATATTGGCAGTACTGCATACTGGGTGCATTTCTCAGAGCACATACTCGAAGATTAGGTTTCAGTATTATCTGCCGTCTTTGGTTCTAGATGTATACAAATAATCCACCTCAGCGTCATTCTTATTTGATATTTTTCTCCAACCGTCAAAGTATTAGTGCATTGAATGGGATGAAATCATTTGGTTAAGCAATCTCACCACCGAACGTCTTCGTGCTACATTCAGTTGTTCATACTGGACACCTGGTAAACAAACCACATGTCTCACTCTGGTAAAGACGATAGAAGAATATACATCACTTTTGAGATTATAATTATTATTACTATCAAGCTGCGTTATTACTTCACTCTGCTGTCACTCGTTTCCGACGAATAGGTACTCCTGGGTGGTGGAATAAATACCCACAAGCCAACCGCCAAGCTGATATTGATATATACCAAGAAATACCATCGGGCTCATTCTTTTTGATAGATATCTAGAGCTAGGAGTGCTTCAGAGAAGTAATTTTATTAGAGAGTCAAAGAGAACTTTTCCCAACGTGATTCAGTTGTTGAAGTTATATTATCCCCTTAAGCCTGCTAGTTAAATTAGCGTTTACTCTTCTTTCATTTTCGAAAGTAAAGTTCAATGATTATGAATGCGGAAAAGTGAATGATTCGTAAGACATATGGCATCTTCATGTGGGAAATAGATGACTGAGTTGGAATTCGCCGACAATGACTATTAGCAAGTTGGAAAATGTTACGTTCAAAATTCTTCTGGAGCATACTGCCAATGACTCACCATTGTGTTTAGAAGACCATGAGATAGGAGATGCACTCCCTTTCAATGTAATGCAATGAAATCTCTATGTCACTCCAAATAACATCGCTAGACCTTCTCATTTTGGTGATATGTGTTTAAATGAGAGATTCCCTTGACTGCCAAGGGGGATAGGATTAATTTTATGTTCCTGAGAACTATTGACAAACATGCAGACTTCTGCGTTCGAAGATGACCAGTTGCAGAGTACTATTTTAGTAGCTGTTCCCATTCCTCCTGTCAGTTTGTAAAGCTGTCCTGACGTTTTCACATGGAAGAAACGCCAAAGGCAACATTAAACACAGACGTTCTAATATGTGCTGTACCAGATGTTTACTGGGAGTATTTGTGTTAGTTACCACTTAATTTATCATATTTGTTGCCACGTTGGAAAACCCCAACACCTGAACATAGTTCTCAGTGCTCGCTGAGATTAATGTAAGCTGACTAGCAAGTACCTATTTTGACCTTTGTTAATAAGAATCACAAGAAATCAGAAATTTGAACAAGGGTTGAACTGGCCATTTTCGGCTCTCACTTGTAAAGATGGGTAGGGGTCAGTACTCCTCATTATTATCAATCCTTCTATATGGATGACTGCATGCCGGCCATGCACATTTCCGAACTTATGACACCTGTAGAGCCACGTCTTTCTAGCGAACATGATAGTACAGAAAGTGGTTCTGAGAGTCAGGAAGAGGTGAAAGAGTTGTCATCTGATGAAAAATATGAACTGAACTGGAGACTACCTACCGTCGAATTATCTAGGATGCTTTCGATTGCTTCTGATGTACTAGGCTGCATTTTCTAGACTGCATTTTGAATTGAAGCATGCTACCGATATCTGCATGAATGGCTCGTACGGCTGGAGAAAACTCAAAGCAGACTGTTGTCAGTGTTGCTGAACACGAAATGGATGTTGTTTATTTGAACTAATCTCCTAGCCGTTGGAAGTAACAGTTCCTCCCGAGACTTGCTTCTTTACAGGGTGATATTATGTATCTTCCTATCTGTGCAGGAGCACACCAATTCCACAGGAACGCAAACATTATCATTTAAATTACATAAATCCGGTTTGTGTTGAATTTTCATGGTCACTGTCCTTTTCGACTCTAGTTTGTGAGGGCAACCTACTGATGTGTCAGTCAATGAGACTTGAAGCCACTCCTCGCATACAACTTTGTTAAGTAGGGCATCGAATCTTATTCTTGATTTCTTTTCCGATGATGTGTCAATTTAAAGTGCGGTATTTTCCCAGCAGGGTCATCGTGGGATATCATTGGAAGCAAACTTTATTTGATACAGACGAATATCGGGTACAGCAGCGCCCAACGAATGAATGATGTGGTTTACTTATGCAAGTGGCTTCAAGTCCTAATGAATCTCAGTCTCGCTATACATGTCTGTCTAGCAAACATATATGCTGATATTCTCTTATTCATTTTATACATCTGTACAATTAGTCTCTTTATCGTTTACGCAGGGTAATTAGCGAAGTTTCACGCATTCTTTAAACATTCCATTGTTTTAAAATTTGACTCGCTCTGGAAACGAATGGTGCATTCTTGCTGTTTGTGAGGTCACAAGATTTCTAACAGTCTGCTAAGAAAACGCCTGCATTTCATAACGGATTTTCGGGTTCTGATTCGTCTGGGTACAGCGTTCCAAATTTTAGAACACATTACTGAGAGGAAGTTCTTACGGAGTGATGAGTTAAAGGCTTTTATTTCCACTGTGCATTTTTGGCTGCACAGGTTGTAACAGCCTTTCTGTGAGACTTCTATGCCCTAACTTTGTGAAGACGGTATTTTTTGCAAGACCTTAAAGGAAAATACTGGGCTTCTGCTGGGTATCCCCTTCCGGAGCGGATCAAAAGTTAGAGATATGCACCTTGAAATGTAGTCTTTCTTACAGTCATATCCAAGTGGTTTCGACGCTGAATGTCGTTGGACATTTTCCGTTCTGAGATTGCCACATACGCGATTGCCACTGAGAATAAGTTGAAAGTATTCTAGTGGTGGTCTTACATATATTTAGTACAGCAAGAGATTAGCTCTGGTTTCATGAAGGTTATTGAGTATGCAACCTAAGAGAATCTCCAACTTTCGAGTCTGCGATGCAACTTGCTCCGAAAATATTAAGTCACTAGATTACTTGATTTCTAAGTGAGTAACACTTCAAAGTCTAGGTAGACTAGCATATTAAAGTATTAGTGGGTCCAATCAGATTTTCTTAGGTTGAGCTTCAGGCTCCAGGATGATGACCACACAGTCGCTCTATCGATTTGTTTCTGGACAACATTTTGACAGTATCCTTGGCCTTCACTCTGGAATATACGACCTACTTTAATTTCACCTGTGTGGTGAGTTCTGGCTGCCAGCCAAAAGTGGGAGACAGCGATTTACGTCAATGTTTACGTCCCCGATATTGGTCACGAGAAAAGTAAGAACAAAGATTGACTCAACAACCTATCACAGCAGACTTTGTGTAGGCTGATACAATTTGCAGATAGATAATCTGAACTTCAAGATACTGCCACAAAGTGATGAAAGATTAACTTTTAGCGAGAAACCACCAATCAGAAGATTGTGTTCGTTTAACATAACATGACAATTTCGCTTTTATTCCAGAGACAGTACTTGTGGTACAGTGTGGAATTTTCAGCACATATCTATAATATTGCATCTAATTTCATCGCACATTTAAAAGGAGTATTACAAAAAAATAAATATAAAAAACAACAACAAAAAACCAAAAAATAAACACAAAAATAACAAAAAAATGCAAATAAAAATACCAAGCAGAAAGGAAGATAAACACCAATAATGAAAAAATATTTCAGTATTAGGTAGTGGAAGCTGTGATATGTGTATGCGTGGTGAACAGTAACAGCTATAATCATACAAGAAGTTATGAGATGTTCTTAAGAATGTTTATAGCCAAGATGATCAGTTAGTTTGATTGAACAAAACTAAACAATCATAAAACAAACATTTCAGGGTTTCTTATTTTTGTTGGCAGCACTAATGCAGTGTTTGCTGTGGTAGTGTGAGTACACCTGCATAATATAAAATTTTGATGATGGCGATAGTGGCGTTCACAAACAAGATTGTCAGTTAAATAGTGCTGAACAAAGAACAACCACAAAACTAATATTACATGATGGTTAATGACAAGACAATTTTGTAATAATCATAGTGATAATATAGTCGGGACCAGTAGATACACAAAAGAAGGAATAGAGTAAAGTACAAAAAAGTAAGCCAATGATAATAATGTTAAGTAGCTAAGTATGTTTAAGAAGGTTGTTCACTATAGAGTACAAATAAGAGAGTATAAGGGGGAAATAACAAGGGCCAAGATTATGTTATTAACAACAAAGCAAGTCATAGGTTTCACGCTTAACGTTGTCTCTGTCACTTAGAACACGGGCCAAATATGGTATCGTTGAGTTCCTATACTTGGTTGTACGAGCATATATTATTTTGTACTGATTTCTGGTTCTACCTGATGAGATGCAAGGATAGAGTT